TCGTTAACGGAGGCACTGAATCCTCTTCAAATGACTCTTCTTCAAAATAATCATCTGAGGCTCCACATAGCACATTAGCGGAACCCTCCGAGTTTCCACATTGCACACCATTAAAGACCTCAAATCACCAACAATGCGTTAAAGCTGCTCTCGCCGAAAGCCCTGACATATTTGGTGACAAGAATCAATGCGACGCTCAGAATCCCTGCAGGGTGGAAGACGGATGAGGCCATAATGATTCCAAGAAGGTGGTTTCGATATTTCCGCAGGATTACCGTCCCAATAAGTCTGCTGTCAGCTCCTTCTAAGCTCGCCGAAAAGGTGATTTATCGTCACCTTGAGAATTTTTCGTCAAATCACCATGTGACTCCTGACGTCCAATTCGGTTTTCGGTCCGAGCATAGCACCGAGCTACAGGCAGTCAGGCTGGTGGAGCATGTAACCAGTGGGTTCACCCTCAGCATAAGTACTGGAATCTTGCTTTTGAATATCTCAAAAGCCTTTGTCAAGGTGTGGCACGCGGACCTCCTCTATAAACTAATCCAAAAGGGTTTTCCTTTTTGGCTTCTAAAATTACTGAAATCCTTGAAGGAAGGAAGTTTCGGATCAAAATTAGCAATGTTTTGTCAACAACACGGCCAGTACAGGCCGGTGTTCCTCAGGGTTCGGTCTTAGGACCAATTGTTTATTCGCTTTTCATCCATGATGTACCTTGCCCCAGCAACTGTGAAGTCTACCTCTATGCTGACGACACTGCACTTGTCGCCCAGTCGTGTACTGGTGATCTAGTTCACGATGGGTTACAGAATGCGGTGGACGAGGTTCTAGAGTGGGCGGAGCGGTGGCTGAGTAAAATTAATCATTCGAAAACGCAGGCTATTTGTTGTATCAAAAAACGTCGCGGCCCTCCAAGCAGAGGTATCTGTAGACGGCAATCGTGTACCATGACAAGTTCTGCCCCCTTAATAAAGGCATGACCAGGCAGAAACATACAGCAGCCTTGAAAACAAAATTCCAAATTGCGTTACGGCAACTATATCGTTTGTTATGTAGATCCTCCAAATTGAGTTTGATAAACAAAGTTCGCCTATATAAAATGAATATTACACCAGCCATTACTTATGCATGTGCAGCTTGGTGTCGTCTTGCCAAGACACATATGCAAAGTCTTCAAGTACTGCAAAGTAGAACTTTGCGAACAATTTGCAATGCTCCATGGTATGTCCCAAACGAGACCCTACACAGAGACCTTGACATTCCTTACTTGAGGGATTATGTCAAACTTCAGGCGGCGCAGCAACGCTATAGTCAAGCGGAATCACTGTAATAAAAAATTAGCGCGTATTTTTAGTACACTTAAAATTACACTCTAACAAAATTGAATAAAAAATTTGTTTAGTTCACCTCAAAATTAATCCGTGTACCAAGTCAAAAAGCCTAGGTGTCTCCTCTTAAACTGAACACTTCTGCTTTTCTTTGCTCTTCTCCATTTTTCTCCTCTTTCCCTTTCTCTTTTTCCTTGACATTGTCTGGTTTCTGGGCAACCATTACTGACAGATTCGACTAACGTACATTAGACAGTGACTAACGGGCAAAGGTCCAGCGGACCACCCAGACAAACAAATGACGAATAGCATAATAGCTAAGAGCATGTGAACGTGGTTTTCTTACCTCTCGGGAAACTGTATTCCAGAATAATAACCGCTGCTCCTCGACCCATTCTTTCTATCACTCACAAACTTGTTTAACAATGAGAACCACTTTCTCTTAGTGATTCTACTTCCTCCTTTTTAAGAATAGGGGTTCTGGAATGGCACACGGACGTAAATACTGAGATGCAGCTCAAATACTAATTTCATTGCTTATAAACTTTAACGGATAGTGACAGCGGAAGATTAACAGGAGATAAATATGTTGTTGGGATATATGCCTAAATTTTAAATTTAATTTTTCGGAAGTTCTATATAGATGCCCTTCTATATCACTTTATTGATCATATAGTCAGTCATAATATAATAATAATAATGTTTAATCCATACACACTGCGAGGCGAAGTTTAGCCAGCTGGCTACTCTACCACTTAACCTCACAGCGCAGGAACACATACAAAAAGAAAGATATAATAATGATTAGCAATCGACTAAATAATATATACAATAATTAAGGCTTAAATAAAATAATATGTTGTACATTTATTCTACATAGCCCGCTCTAACAAAAAAAAAACAAAACAATAAAGACAAAAAAAATATATCAGCCAGCTTGGCTAGCAAACCCCAGAAGATGGTTCTTAATGGCTCTCTTGAATGCAAGCATTCCCTTCTTTTTGTGACTGTCATTAAGACTATTATACACCTTGACAGCGTTCTAGGTGAAGCTACGATGGAAAATGTTGCTCCTATAACTACGTATATTGAAGTCAGAGTTATGTCTGAGATTCCTGTAATTGAGATCCCCACGTGGTACCAGCCTTTTTAGTAGATAAGTAGGTAGCCTATTGATTTTTATTCGTTGTATGCAGAATATGGCGATTGGTGTATAATATCTTCAAACGCATGTATGTCAAGCGAGATAAATGCGTAATATGTTGCTTAAACCTCAAATCTGAATCCATGGTGATCCCTAAATTCTTCGCATGGTCTACTATAGGAATATGGGTTTCGTTAAGACTAGGAACAATTGTGCCATCTAACCATTGTACTAACTGTTTTGGGCCAAATAGCATGGTAGAACATTTTGAAGCATTGATCTTCAGACAATGTTTTTTGCAGTACTCTTCAATGTTAACTAGATCTAAGTTCAATTTATATGATGCTTCATGCATGTCCAAAGAATCGAAAGACAGAGTTAGCTGCGTGTGTTCTGCATACGTTTGAATATTACAGTGCTAAAGGCAAGTATGTAGATCAAAAGTATAAACTAAATAGAGTAATGGTCCCAACACAGAGCCTTGAGGTACGCCAGATGCAACACTCTTTGCCGAAGAAAATCCCTTACGTGTTTTCACCTTCTGGGTACGATTGCACAAATACGAATCGGAGAAAAGTAGTGGCTTGTCAGAAAGGCCATAAAATTTGAGCTTATTCAAGAGAATACCATGATGTAACATATCAAAGGCCTTAGAGAAGTCTAGCAGAATCAGAGCTGTTCCTATCTGATCATCTACATTTTTGATGATATCATCCGTGATGTTTAATAAAGCGGTTGTTGTGCTATGCCCTGTACGGAAACCAGACTGATATTGAGGAATCATATTGTTTTGTTCAAAATAGTGGGCCAGCTGTATGTAGACAATTTTCTCTAAAACCTTCGACAAAAAGCACAACATGCTCATGAGCCGTAGGTGAGAATACTCAGAGGGGCTGTTTATCTTCGCCAAAGGCAAAACGATAGCTTCCTTCCAGCAGCTTGGGTCTCTAAGGAAACATTTATAATATGAGTAATGTGATTCAAAATTTCTGGTAAGCAGAGATGTATCATTTTACGACTAAGTCCATCACAACCCGATGTTTCTGAATTGATAGAAGTTAAAACATCCAGCACTTCATGCTGGTCAACGTAGCGAAAAGTAAATGAAGGAACATTAGTGCAGAAGGAGCTATTATCATATTTATGAATTGTAGACTCAATTAGCCTCGAGTTCAAATTAGCAGCCTGTGAGTTCAGTAAAAAGTAATCATTCAGAGAGTCTGGTTCAAGTAGGTCATCTGGAATTTCAGTTTTTTTCCGTCAACAGATATATCATATCTTCAACGGTTTTCCAAGCTTGCTGCGTATTCAAGTTATCAATGTGTGATAGGTAAGCCTTTTTTCCCTCCTTATTGACGCTAAAGCATAATCTCTTAGTTCCTTGTAGTAAATCCAGCTTTCTTGATTGGGAGTACGTCTGAAAGTTATTAAGGCAGTATCCCTCTGTTTAAGTATAGGTTTTACTGTAGCTGTTAACCAGGGTGCGGCTCTTTTATTGACGCTAGCAACTCTGACAGGCGCATAGGCATCAAATAAAGTAGTGAGTGATTCCGTTAAAATACATATCAATAACTATTCAAAGATGCAATGGAAAACCTCTATTGCCACGCTTGTGGCTTTTAATTACAATCCATTCAGCGTTTCTTGCTTATTATGACAGATGTAGCTAACAAGTTGATAGCCTCACATTAACTTGGTTTTGTAACATGTAGTAATTCCTATAATTCTTCTATGAAAGTTCCTTATTAATTACTTGTGAATTATTCAGTGAAATTTTTGCCAACCACGTAACAGCCAGTAATTAAAAGTAAAAGAAGAGAAATTGTGCTTTATAATCTTCATTCTTCACAGTCTCTTGTTAATAAATGCCTGGTCTTGGTTAAAATAATTTAGAAGAATGAATGCAAAGATATACATCTGGTATGCGCTTGTGATATAGTTCTGATCTATTAATTATTTTATATCGTAGTGTGGTTTTCAGTCATACTTCAAGCGAATTATGCCAGATTATTCTTGCCAAAATTAGAGAACAGAAGAGACAATACCTTTTTTCTTCGATTTTGTCTGGTTTCTGGCCGACCAGATAGACAGAACGGCAAGGCTGGTTACTAAGTATTTACGTGACTAGAAAGGTCCCACGTGGGTCCCACTAACGCTTTGATAAAAACGACGAATCGACCTTTTTATCAAGGCGTGCAAAGGAAGTAACATGACGTTTATCTGCTCAAAAAACACCTTTCCTGTCAACACTTCAACTAATCACTGTCAAATTTGTGAACATTTTATACGCTAGCTTTGGGGTCCGCAAATTGAAAAATTTGAAAATTATTCGTAAAATGGACGGCTACCTCTCTGAAGAAGACGAATACCTTGAAAATGAAAGTCAATCAAATGGAAATTCGAGAGAAAACATCAAGCTGTTCGAAACAACCTTATCTGACGAAGAAGTAGCTGCCGAAGTATGTTATTTAGCCGCGAATGAATCATTTTGCAAAATAATAAAAGCAGCATTGAAAATGGGAAATCAAGACATGATGTCCAAGAAAACTAATGTGAATTCGTCATCATTACCAACTCGGCAGTACCTTGATCAAACTGTTGTGCCGATTCTTATGTCAGGGCTTACCTACATATCCAAAGAAAGACCTCCTGAACCTATTGTTGCTCTAGCTGTATATTTGTTAAAGAACAGGTCTACATTCGAAACTGGAACGGAGAATGCTTCACCAAACATTGATTCAGAGTTCGAGTCAAATTTCGACTCAAATATAGAAAAAGAATGAATCATATAAATATTATGTTTTTGCACAGTAATTGATGAATATACTTTATTTTAAACCAAATAAAATAATTCTTTTTTGAAAAGTCGAACCCAGGCCCTTCTAATGACAGAGTAGGTTGGCTTCCTCTGAGTCCTGCTAGAAAGATATACTCAGTGACATAGAAAATACCTACAAAGTATAAACACCATGTTCCCTAACTCTGAGAACAAGTAATGACAACATTTTGCATATCAACATTTTATCTTACAATCTTTCATTTTACTTTTAGATTATCTAACATGGAATACAAAATTTATGAAAAAATACAGTTTTGCTAGGCTGCTTTCTTCACCACTGAGTACTGAGTAGGGTGTAAACGATATCGCGACAACTATAGTTACAGACTATTCTACATTGTTTGTCGCATATGGTAATAGTATTTGTCACCAATGACTACACAAAGGAAGAATACGAAAAAAGAAAAGTCCTACATGCACATTTAAAACAAGCTAGACAAGCAAATAACTCAGCATATATAAAAAACAACAAATTATATGTGAATGGTGACGCCTATTCATATGAAACACTACAACAGGACGAGTTACCAGAAACATTTACAGTAGAAGCTACATCGAAATTCGAAACAGGCCACAGATCCACAAACAACAATAGCGAGACCAAAAGAGGGGAAAAGAGATCTGCCGAAGAAGCTTCTTCAGGAAAGCAAAAAATCTTAGTAATTCATCAAGGTCCTAAATTAAGAAGCAATTCTAGGCCATAATGGACTCATACATTCGTGATTTTCGAATAAAAAATATTAGTACTAAAAATGTAACGTCTATAGATGAATGCAATAGCACTTTGAATTCAGAATGTAACAGAGAAAATGTTTCGTTATTGCACCTAAATATTAGGAGTATACATAGAAATTTCGACGAATTCAGGGTGCTACTGCATGGAATCAAAAAAACATTCGACTGTATAGTTTTGTCAGAATGCTGGAAACTTGAAGATATTTCACTATATCAACTGGAAAATTATAACATATACTATATATGTAATGATGGTGATATTAACAAAAATGATGGGGTTATAGCTTATATCAATAAAAACGTTGAGGTGACCGAGAATACAATAATACAACTTTCTAACACAAACATAAAGATCTTGCAGCTTTCTATGAAAAAATGTAAAGACCTAGTACTTGTTTCAGCTATTTATAGACCACCGTCAACAGATGCTTTGTCATTTCTCAGTGACTTGGAGTCATACCTTGAATCTTGTAACAAAAGTCGTTGCATCCATCTACTGGCGGGTGACATAAACATAAATATAATGGAAAAGTCTGAGTTATCGGAAAAATACTTGAATATCTTAGCCTCGTATTACCTTCGTCCAGCAATAAATGACTACACAAGAGTGGATGGTAACGCAAAGTCTTGTATTGATCACATATTCGCTAGCACTCCTTCTGATAATGGTTAAATTCTGTAATACTTCAAAACCATATAACTGATCACTTTACAACTATACTAGAGATAATTTTCCCCAAAATCATTAGCAAAAATATAAACACAAATTGTGTATATACGTATAGAACAAATGAAACCAAATTACTTGAACTTCTGAATAATCAAACTTGGACACCAATATATAATTCGATCAACACGCACAAAGCTACTGAACATTTCATACAAATATTGAACGAAAATATCACTAAATGTAGGTATAAATTAAAACTCAAAAATAATCAAAAAGCTAGGAAAACATGGATAACTAGCGCTTTGGTGAACTCTGTAAATAAGAAAAACAAACTATATCGTGAAATGATAAAAAACCCAACGGAAATAAATATAAAAAGATTTAAGGATTACAGAAACTTATTAAATAACCTATTAAAAACAAGAAAAAAGGAATACTACGACAGCAAAATCAAGAAAACCAATAATAGTAGTAAGATGTTATGGGATTGTGTAAATGAGATTTCCGGTAAAAGGAATAAAAAGGCAGAAATAGATAAGATAAAAATCGAAAGTGGGGAAGAAATATCCAATAAAAATGATATTGCTCAGAAGTTTTTGGAACATCTCACAAGCATTGGTGAAAAACTGGCAGAGAAGATACCACGCACTGCTCCTATCAAACAAGTAAATAAGCTTATCAACTCAATTTATTTAGACGATACGGATGAAAACGAAGTGAGGGAGACTATATTAAGCTTGAAAAATGGCAAGGCTCCTGGAAGCGATAACATAAAAGCTGAAACTCTGAAAAAAATACGATATTATATATGCAAGCCTTTAAAATATATAATAAATGAATGTTTTCGTAAAGGAGTATTTCCCGATATTTTAAAGTTAGCCACAATAACACCTATCTACAAAAAAGGTAGCAAACTTGATATAGAAAATTATAGACCAATATCCCTGATTTCGAGTATCGCCAAAGTCGTAGAAAAAATAATCAAGTCAAGGTTACTAAAGTTTTTCAATAGGTATAACGTGTTACATAAAAATCAATTTGGATTTAAAGAAGGCATATCAACGCAAGATGCAATAGCTACACTATCCAAAAAACTGTACAGACTAGTTAACGATAAGATCCCTGCCATTTGCATATTTATAGACTTATCCAAAGCTTTCGACACCATTAGTCATGACAAGCTGTTGGAAATACTCGAGCTTAGCGGTATAAGGGGAACTACTTTAGACTTAATGTCGAGCTACCTAAATAACAGAAAGCAGTGTGTCAAAATAGATAACGTGACCAGTCATTATAAAGACGTATGCTATGGGATCCCACAAGGAACTGTTCTTGGGCCAATATTATTTAATATATATATTAATGATTTGTTCTCAATGGATTCGGGAGGTACAGTGTTAGGATTCGCGGACGATACTGTCATAATTTATGAAGACTCAAGTTGGCCCGCACTTAAAAATAAAATCGAAAACAAGCTCACCAACGTACTAGCATATTTCAACACTAAGCTACTCACAGTTAACTCTGAGAAAACAAGTTTTGTACCTTTCGCATCCTATAGAAACCATATGCCACAATATAACGAAATAAATGTCAGAATAGGAAACTATACGACAACCATTAAACGTCAAAGCAGCACTAAATATCTGGGAATATATATTGATCAAAATCTCAGATGGGATGTTCAAATCGAATATGTGACAAAGAAAATAAGATGCCTCATTCCAAAATTCAAATGTCTTAGAAACATCCTTAATACGGATTGCATGAGAATCTTATACTTCGCACTTGTGCAGTCACATCTTTGCTATGGAATACTTGGCTGGGGAGGAGCTGGCTTCACTTACATAAAGAACTTGGAGATTGCCCAAAAATATTTATTAAAAATTCTTTATAGCAAGAGCAAAACTCATCCATCTGATGAGCTATACCATGAGTCTGGAATTATGGACATTAGGCAAACCTTTATTTATAATTGCATGGTATACTACTTTAAAAATAAATCATTTCATGAGGAAATCGCTCACAAATATGACACTCGCCAGAAAGTTGCTAGGCACATAATGGTACCTAGGCCGGAAAAGTCATTATTGCAACGCTCCTGGATTTATCTCTGCCCCAAATTGTACAACGAAATGCCTGCTGATTATAAGTTAATACGAAACATTGCTTTATTCAAGAAAAAAATCTCAGTCTGGGTGAAAGGTATATCCAGGAGCATAATACATGATTATATAGAAGGCAAAACACTATATATGTCACTCTCACAACCCAAATGAAGTCACCGTTTTTAGAATAATTGCTCCATTCTATTAATTTATTATTTTATCATATTTTATTGTACGTTATTATATTTTATTAGATTTTATTATGTTTTATTGTAGTCATTTATATGCTTATACCGTATCTCATGTATGATGGGCATTTAATTTTATTCTATTCTATGCTTGATATATCCTTGTCTTTATTGCTCACAACACAAATGCAACTACCAGTTTTGTAATGTCATTTTAGTTTTTATTGTCCTTTATCTTAGATGTACTCTTTTTTAGATTAGCCTTTTGATTTATGTTATTTATTATTGAATTTAGTTAAAGTGCCACAATATCAGTTCAAGGTTTTCGCATTTCTGCCAGTGATCGTGTAACACCAAATTATGTCAGTGCGTGCGTAAGAAGTGCATAGTGCATTAGCAAGTACTTGATAGACTTTATTTATATCTGCGGATAGACAACTGACAATAATGGGATGGCCACACACAAGATTTTTCTTTCGTGGCATTACTTTTATTTGTCATTGATACTCCTTTGTGGCAACAGTCTTTGAAAATTTATATTTGCATAATTGAATTTGACAAATAAATTATTATTATTATTATTATTATTATTATTATTATTAAGTGACTGGCTCGTCTTAATTAAACTGGCACAGCTGAACTTAGATTGCTCACGTTTCGTGAACTTCTCAATTTTTTGGGAATATATCTCCGTTCCGTAACAGCTTGTATGCTTGATATAATCATCCATCGACTACTAACAAGTAAATCGTAAATTTTGTTCATTAGTCGGTCCATCTCAGGTATAATTACCAGTGTTATATAAAAATGACGTGAGGTAAGTTGACTCTGCACTTCCCACTCAACGTTATCAGTTCATCAAAGATTATGTTCGGCACAAGTAAGTCCTTCCGAGAGCGAGAGAGAGAGAGCGAGAGAGAGAGAGAGCGAGAGAGAGAGAGCGAGAGAGAGAGAGCGAGAGAGAGAGAGCGAGAGAGAGAGAGCGAGAGAGAGAGAGAGAGCGAGAGAGAGAGAGAGGGAGAGAGAGAGAGAACCGGCGATGCAGTCAGAGCCAATCACACGCAGTTTCAATTAATGGGGTTCGAAGTGTATTAGTAAACATCAAGGAAACGTAGTTTGGACTGGACATAATTTCAAAAATTGCAAAGCTTTTGCGTCAGTGGCATCGCAGTAACACTGAGTACAAATTTCATCAAAAACCGGGTGGTACTTCTCAACTTATAGGCAGTTATAAGATTAGCGGACACATACTCGTAGATGGACGGACTGACAGACAGACAGACCGACGGAATTGAGTGACAAGGTTTTTCTTGATGTAGATGTGATATAATATCCAAAAAGCATAACATCTCATTTTCGAATTTTACTCCAGTAGGCGTGGGAAGTAAAAATTGTTGTAGCCCGTGTGTAATGATTTTGCGTTAGCTCGGGGTGCGCATCACAGGTTAAATTCACTCAGCGTATTGAGCCTGCTCTCAATAGCGTCGTGGGGCTCCTTTGTTTGATGCGGCTATCAGAGGATATGTGTATGTGAGGATGATGTATCTAGAAGAAGTGGTTTTTGAATCAAGCCGTAAATAAAGATGTGGCGTCAGTTGCCTCGTTCCGTATGGACTGATTTGGTCTGCTGTGAACATATATCATATCCTTATCAATTATAAAGGAATTCCAGGCAAACATCAATCATCGTAAATATAAACTGAGATGTTTACGGACAATACGAAATATTTGGAACAATTGTATGAAGGATTTGGTAAGGAATTCCATACATAGCAGATTTATTTGGTCATCTTTACCAATTCCTGCGATATTTATATGCAGTGAAATACGTTGCCATCCGGGTTGTCTTCTGCATATACTTGGTTACTATAATATACCTATTGTATCTGCAACTGTCTCGGCAAAAATGCTATTATCTTGGTCTCTAAAGGGTACTTCTTTATGTCTTTACTTTTTTGTTGCAATCTTATTCATTGCATGGAAAATGCAACCTATCAATAAAATCAGAGTGTTATTTCATGAAACTCTGTAGTGAAAATGAGCACAAACTATCAATATTTTGATAACAGAGATGTGTTGTTTTTATGCGTTCAATTTAAACAATTTTGAACGAATCCATTAACAAAAAAGCTACACACATATTGTGCGGGAAGAGCACTCAATTAATATAATTGCTTAATCCATTGACAAAATAAATTAGAATTTCACATAACGATTCTATTGCAGTGCCGGCTCGAGGGTTTCTGACACCCTCAGCGAGTGTATTGCTAGTTGAACCCTCCCCCGTAATGAAGCATATAATGAATTTGCGGTTCATTCTTAAATAAAAATATAATCTATTCACGTTTTCAGAGGGTGACTACAACAAAGTTTACATACATTGGAAACCTAAATTAATTCATACTTCACAAGTACGTTTCTCTTGTCAAAAATGCTACTTTGTAGTAAACCATAGAACCCAACCCTGATTGTATGTATCAAGCGTTGATAGGAGTATTTGGTACTGTGTGAGCTGTGAAAGAGCAGCTTACATATGCTGAGTTGCCTGTCAGTTATTCATTTTTTTACAAGGACCTTTAAAAGTCCATATACGAATTAATAAATTTTAAATCTGGACCTTTTTGCCATGATGGTTGCCAACCATATTATTATTAGTATGAGCATTATAATGATCTGATGGCTATTTGGTGCAGTCAAAACTTTGTCAATTATGCAGCGTCCTTGAAAGGTTAGTTAAAACAAGCCGACTTCCAAGAGAGTTTTACCATAGAGTAGTCCAAGAGGACTGGCGAAAAAGTATCCATTGTAATTAGTAAAAATTTCGAAAAAGAGCTGTTATGCTTTTTTGATGTTATGTCGCATGCTCATCACGAAAAAACATGATACTCATTTCCGACTCTCTGTCTGTATGTTCATCCATTAATTCCTCATGTCGCTATAACTTGGAAAGTACCGGTCGGATTTTGATGAAATTTTCACACAACGATACTACTATTCTAAGGGTGAAAAATCTTATTAGTTTTTAAAAAACGATTCAGTGGCACCGCAGCTAGGGATAAAAAAGTGAACAAATAGCTCAATCTTTGTTTATTGACGTTTCCCTGGATCATGATTTTTGAAAAATATTTTAGGCGTGAAAGACTATACGAGTATGTCGCCAACCGCAGTAATTCTACGCACGCAATAGGCATATTCCACTCATCATAGATTTCCCCGTACATTTATCTTCGCGTAGGAAGTGCAAAGTCAACCTACTTGACAAGATTTTTTTATAGGAGTGTCCGAGAGATTGCCATCGTAATCTTAGACATCGACTATATACCTTATGCATTTATAGATATTACATGCAGCTTACAGCTTCCTTGTTTAGTGTTATGCTGTGTTCACTGCGAGCCATTTCATTATAACAGCTAACAGCGTTCGACATAAAATGGTCCGCAGCCTTCACAAAATCATAACACACTGTCATAAAAACAGTAATATTCTGGGGTATTCTGCATATTTGATTTTATGATCATATCTCCAAACCTGCGATGCATTGGCGTAGACTTGCAATACGCTTACAGATATGGAGTACTAAATGTCAAAATATTCTTCTGCATTGATCGCGACCGTTGTTAAATTTCATATCGGAGCTGGAAAAGATAAGTAAGTCACTCCTAGGGTTGGCTAGAAAAAAAAATGAAAAAAGTTTGAGCATCAGATTAGAGAAATAACCTACGTCTAGACTTTGATCAAACAGTATTTTATCGAAGAATATAGTAATTTTGTGGTTTTTAGGAAAATTGTAAATAAAGGTTCTTGTCCTTATTAACAAGAGCGTGGAATTGTTCTCATTACAGTATTACATGATTTATAATTCGTTTGCAAAAATTTCTTAAACATGCAAGCTGAACTAACGAACCCAAATACAAGTTACGCTACTGATCACGACCAGTGATATACCATATGGAATAATGCAAACAGTATTGTTTATACATGTTGCAGAGCGAGAAATATGCAGATAACTTAAGTTAGCAGTCATATCAATAACAAATAGATAGTCTTAATATATCTTGTTTAAGGCTATGCAGTGGTACTGGATGTTTCACACACTTCACTTACCTCTCACCCTTATATCTCTTTGGCTTCTTGGCAGAACATACAGGAAGATTCTTGTTTCGCTGTAAGTTAAATAAAAACCCTCCACATGCTTATTCGTTGAAAGGGTCTTAGTTAGCAACGAGGGTCACCCAACGAATTCAAACTAGGTAAAAGGAGCAAGTCTATGATTTGTTTGTCTGCAGGATGTAAGTTCATTCTATAAGCCGACCAGGCTTAAGCTGCAAGTTGTTGATATTTCACATGAAATTCGTATTTTTTGCGAAAACATAATAAAGCTCATAAACATATATCGATACGTGTTATACGAGTGGTCATCGGCGACATGGCATGTATCTCAACGTTGGGCCTTTAGCTTGACAGTTGTGAGGTAATTTTGAATTATTTCCTTCTACTTCTTGTTTATTTGAGTGTTCAGTCTGCATCTAAAATTCGTTAATAGGGTTGCATATCTCACAACAACGCTGAGAAATATTGGAGACAGACCAAATTTCTAAACTTTCACGTGTTTATAGTATAGTAATTCTACGTTCTCATTTTATTGCTACGAGATTCTAGCAGGGACTCTCAGTAGGCTTCAGGAAACCAAAATATCAAAAATAAGTTACTTCCAAATTTCACTTTTTTTAATATCAGGTATTCTACAATTAATGTGATATGATGAAGACAATTTTTCGTATTTTTCTTCTAACACAAAAAAATAAGTCTCACCATATTTCAAAAATTTGAGCCCCTATGAATTGTTTTTTTGAGAAGTGATCAGGACTCCGATACTCCGAAATATTCCTTCAATTGTCAACAAACAAAGGTTTAACACGTTATTTGCCCTATTTTTTTTTGTAGCAGCCAACAAATACACAACTTACCCGATTAAGTTACTTGTCAGAAAATTATGTATTAGTACTATCAACAACCAGCTTGTTTATCTCTGATGACTAATCGGATGAGGTTTTGCACCAACATAAACAAATTTACTGATAGTAGCAGAATTTGAAGACCAACTATAGTTGCCCACCATTTCACTTTAGTAGTGCTAGCATTAACTAACGCTTGTCTAAGTAGCAATAACAACTATTTGTTCTTTATTTGTATCAGCTTCCTGTAGATTTGAGAATATACAGATGTGAGTACCGTACGTTTTTTGTAAAGATTTTGATGCATTCAATGAGATATGAACAATTTGATAAATTATTCTGCACCCCAATGTTTGATTTGGACATAAGCATATACGAGTAGAAGTGACGGTCGTTAAGAAGTATTACTACAGAGGCCCGATTCTTCGGATGCGAGAGAAGATTAGATATAGTATTATATTACGTTTCTGGCAGCTTTTACTTGTGTTTTGACGTTTACAATATACAAATGCATTTTTGAGTGCATATATTTTCGGCAAAATAATATGTTTCTAGGTTTCTCATATCGTTAAACCTTTTGTCACAGTCAAAATCATGTTTAGAGACAAAACTCATGGACGGCGGCAATATTTCTGCACGTTTTCTCCCGAGAATCCTAAATCGATTGCTCAGTGTTCAGGAATACAGTATTCCGGAAGCCAAGCCTACTTTCTCAGTGATTTACTCCTTTGTTACCAAGAATAGTGGTTCAGGTTGAGGATGACCTTGTGTATGCGATTCTATTCCTCATTTTTTGGTCATACCGGCAGTTATTTTGGAAATAGTATTTTTCGTATTGAGTATCCTGTTAATGTATTATTGTTATAACGTAACAAGGCTGGCTTGCGGTTATCCATCTCTCAAACGTTGTCTCGCCCTTATACACTACCCTTCATCTGGTGAACAATTATAATAACATGCGTTGTAGCAGTACAGTCGATATGGTTGTTTAATTTATACAGTATTTCCGCATTTTTCTAAATTGAATGTTTTTGTTGCAGATGAGGATTCTGAGCCAAACTACGATAACATCAACTTACGTTACCAATGCGACAACTACGACAGCTTCGATGATCCAGAAAGTGACTCTGACATTTATGAAAATCACGTTGTAAGTAAAACCAACATAATGTGTGCTTCTAATAGTTCGTAATGGTAATCTATTATTGGACTAAAGTTAGAAGGGGCAGAAACCTCACTTTTGTGGAGAAACTTATCATCTTTTACATAATCATTTTTGTTGGATGCTCCTTAACATAAATCAAGAGGTTGTCAGGCGATGACCCGGTGAAAAATTATTTAAATATTTTCATGAAATTATAAGAAATATGAGCAAAACTTTTTCAGGTCTTTGGGTCGATACGAAATAAACCAGTCCTTAGCATCTTCTTTTAAAGTTGAGTTTTCGAGTTGGAAGCTATTGAGATTCAGGAAAATTTGAAAAGTTTTCAAATATCTAAATTGTTTAAATGTTCCCTTAAAATTATCCGAATGATATTTTGGGAATATTTTGTTTCATTTATTTATTCAGCAACATCCAACAGCCAAAGCCAGTTACAGGATGGATAAACAGGATGGATAAACATGAATACAAATTATATAAGTAGAGGATGTGTTATCCAGAAAGCTAGAACGCTGAAAAAAACCTCAAAATAGAACTCCTAGAGGAAGTAGTTGTAGTAGTGGTAAGGAGCGAAGCCTGGCAACTAGACCACCCTTAACCTTTTTTGCCGACCCGGTAGTACCCGTAGAACTCAGAAGAAAAAAAGCATTCTAGCTGTGCCCTCCACGCAACAATCAAACCGGGAATACTGAAGCAAGCATTAACCAAAATAAGCTCTGAGCACTGTTATGTAATTGTCAATAACGCGCTAAGGGCTCCGCGCGCCTTCCTTTATAGGGCGACCATTTACGCAGACTTGAGTGGCACTCTAGTGCCACTCGACAATGCTTAACATATGGCTACCTTTTTCTGATTTCATTGTCGAATGTTGTAGAGATGGACAGACGTAGTCTCCTGAATATTCTAATACCAAGAAGAACGTGTTCGGGACCTATAACGCATTATTCACAATTCAACAACAATGCTTTGTAATAAACTAAGCCCAAATGACTCTTCGGTTTTGTAGCAGAAAGTTTGAATACCATGAAATTCAATCAAACGTATTTTAGCTGAGTCGTGGAGCATTGAAAATTGCCAATTAAGGTTTTTTTCAGAATTTAAATTGCCTATATCTCGAAAATGGTTAACTGTAACTAAGTACATTTTTGTTCATAATGATCAAAAAAAGTTTGTCGGGAACCAAATAAGTCAAATAATTTATAACTATACACGCCAAAAAACTTGATTAAAACGCCAAAGACCAAGAAATATTGAGATCTTAAATAGAAAAGTCATACAATAAATGCATTATGATTTTTTGTGGTAGCGTTGGAACATTGCTTTCAAGTTGAAATTTTTTGTCAAACGGGATTTAATTCTGTATCATCTTGCTTCTATAGAAGCTGCCGTATAGTCAACCACGTACGAAAAATTCAAGGGTAAAGTACATGTAACGATATGTTCGCTTATAGTGGCTTAACTAAAAGCCTAATAGTATAAAAGATTACCATCCTTTTTTGTAGAGAATAAAAAAATGTCCATATTTCACGTGGGGATAATTACATAATCATTACATATGATTAAGAATACCATCGTAAAGTGAATCCATTTTTTACTGACATGCGTAATTCGTGGGTGTCTGTATCATGAAAATGCAAGTCTCACTATTGGGCATTTTGCCATTGCGTAGCTTCAGCAACTGGGGCCACGATTTATCTCCTCCTTAATTAAACCTGTGGTACCGGTCGCTGAGATTACGCAGTGTTAAAATCGCAGGCTGATGTAAGTAAATCAGTCATAATCACAAATTATCAAAAGAATACATTTTCCATATTTACACCTGGCAGTAAAAAAATGATTCACTTTAAAATGGCATTCTTCGCAATATGTAATGATTATGGAGTTATCCCCACTTGAAATAAAATGGTATGCTGATACGTAGACAACGTATCTAGCGTGCAGAGTAACTTTTGCGTCTTATACCTCAAGAACCATTTTATATCAAATTTTATTCTCTACAAAATGGTTGTGACCTTTTAGGCTCGTATGTTGGGAGTTTTGGCATTATACCACCAAAAATTTGCCTGTTGCACTTATTGGACTAATTCTGAAATGCATATTGAGATTAGGATCTGCTTTGCCTTTGAGTTCGAATTTTAAGGTTGTGGTTTCAAACGACAAATATTTTTCATCACTTTAATTGTAGGTGATAAGTAGCGACAATATTGAAGATCGCCCGTTGCCAGAACCTCCTCCTCAAGGACCGAACCAGTTTGAGAAGTTTGCCAAAAACATTCGCAGTCTAAAGAACACTATTTCGAAGGATATCGGCAAGTCGCTGAGACGGATATCTAGGCGAGTGTCTCAGAAAAATACTGAGGAGGAGCTTCAAAAGGGTGAGTTTTAACCGATCTACAGATCAACTTTAAAAAGTGCAACTCGGCCTCTCCTCAAGAGTACCGATTTGCTTGATTAGTTATGTTATTTTTTTTGGAAATACCATATCTCGAAATGTGTGGTCACTGCCTCGGATTCATGTATAATGCAAACATGTTTATATAATAGTGTTACAGATTCATATAAACGAAATTCCTAAGGAGCTCTCCCACCAAGATACGGTTCATAAAGGGACACTAGTGATTGACTTTCCTTAAATAATTTCTGAACGACATGAGATATTTGAACAAATTTATGACAAAACGGTAGCCAATTTGGCTCTCCTAGTATGGTGTTTGTGAGAAACGGACATGATTTGCTATTTATTACACTGTAGAATAATGACTTGACAATGATATTTTTGGAAAGTCTGATTCTTTAGAAAGACATGTGCACTTTTGTCGATATCGATAGAATGATATGAGAGTTTTGTTTTAATACTTCCTCTATCGACTTAGACTGTAGCTGATTTCAAAGAAGTTAGAAAAACATGGTCAAGAGACTTGAGCAATTTATATGCAGAGTTTTTCGAGACACTGGTATGTTATCAGAATTGCAATATTTGCAAGATGGTGGGACTGGAATCTTATTGGGGACATATACGATTCATGAAATCAGGCTTTCCAGAAATATCATTGAGTCGTTGCAATGCGTAATACCATCCTATACAATCTAAAGGAGCTAATTTTTTAACCTTGGACACTGGTGTGCTAGGTTAAAAGTTTTAACTGCCAAAATTTTTTTAGTTACGAACCGCCGATATTCAATGTCATTCTTCAGGGGAGCTCCGCATAACTCATCTTACATGCAATCCTCATTTTTTATGATCATATTCTAGAACACGATAAGATAATTGCACAAACCTTATAAGTCATTATTGAAATAGCTGCGTATTCGTGGAACGTATAAAATACTTTATACTTTTCAAATAGCTGAGTTCTTGGTAAAGGGGCCGCAATATGAATTATCATGGGTTGCTTAATAAGGCAATTACTGTTGATGACCGCTAAACGGACGTTTATCAAGTACAAGAACTTTCTGTGTGGGGCTAAATTTAACTGCGTATGCATGCAGTGCTTTTGTTTTCTGGTTCACACATATAAATATACGGTTGTAGACATTAGGCACATGTCGCATAATGTTAGTTTTTCTGAGTAGTGGCATTGAAAATAATTATCTTTCATGCATGTAGTAATGCTAATTTTGGGAATCTGTTGAGGCTATTTGTCAATTGTTTAGCAGTAGTTAGGATATGATGTTGTTTTGGCATCAAATGGATGTTTCTGCAATTATTGTTCTATGACACAGTATAAAATGCAATATTTATATCATCCTAAGGGCTTGGCGTGAGACAAATATCGCCACTAGGCAATACCCACTTCTTTTTAGCACAAATGTGAAGAGATTTCATTCGAGATAAGAATGATTGAATCTAAGTATATAAGTAAGACATTAAATATGAATCTCGTCTGACTGATCTGTAATCTGGAGTACTTTATTTTAAAAATGTCTGAATTTTCTAGGAACAGCCACGTAAACGACTACGGTTCGATCACATCTGTCGAGGACCTGGATGAAACTACATATGTGCATTGAGTACTGTGCACGTAGCCCTATAATATTTTATACTAAATCACCACAATATGGATTTATACCCCACGTTATATTGAATTTTGATTGAATAATCTATGTATCGAGGTAAAATATATTTTACCTTGCGTCAAAATGTTTCTTGTTTTTTTTTGGTCAATGGTGATTTACAAGTTTAATAGCATATCTATTGACTTATGACACAAGTTTCTAAAAATTTCCCACAAAATTACTCACTACACTTTTTTCTATAGTACTGAATCTTTGGAGGCCTGGCAGCGCAAACGTTGAATTAAGTATAGAAAAAACTACGGCGTGAAATTTAATGTATCTGTGGGAGACTACAGTAGCTAGGTACTCTTAGCTTATTGTTTTCCCTGTTAACAAACTTTAGTATAAACTATTTTTAGCTGGTACTGTCATAGTCTTTTTCACGAGTATCCATTACGGCACAATGACAGCTGATTATCTAGTAATATCTAAAAATTTCTCATATCGGTAAAGGACACACAATTCTAACCGATCCGTCAATGCCAGGTAGACAGAGCCATATTTTGCTTTGGGTTTTTTGTACGCTACAGATTCATCTTGTACTTGCTAAAAACTCTTTTATTTAGAAAAGTTCATTTGCATACAAGAAACAAAACGGTACAAACCACTTTTACTAGATTTACACCCGAGTCATTATTGCCAACGTTGCAGACTAACACAAAAATCTCACTTGCTGATCAGCGGTTCGTGATGGATATTCGTGAAATAGGGTATAGGGTATTACGGAATCTTACTACCTGTTTGGGATAGTCCAAGCTCTCATGTTAAGATGGCATGCCAACTTCCATCCCATGTCTTCCCAGAGAAGCTTTACAAAAGCATGGTTGACAGCCTTTCCGGCCGCAAGGTATTTGACGAAGCTCCCCTGTTCATCACACAATTACTTTTATTTTCATAAACTTAAGAAAAATCAGGGATACAGAAGTTATGAATAAAACCAGTAAGAGTGCACCTAGCTTATTAGCTTTTAGTCGTCAGTTTGAGATTAAACATTTTCCTTACCTGATTTACACTGCGCATGCGCAGTAGCTGGTACACTCCGATCACTGCGCCCTCAGTCAGGCGTCTGGTTTTGGGGTATTTTTATTTCTCGTTTTGTCGGTTCTCATGGTATAGAGGCTCCATGATACAAGCAAACCGAACGATTTGCATGGCTGTCTATGCCAGCCTTAAGGCACTTTAAGAATACAGATTTCATCTGATAGAGTGATTTTCTACATTCAACTAGCGCTTGTCAATTTCAAACAATTACATCCTAGTTTGCTTTCAATTAGGAGAAATAAGCGTTTGTTGCCACAGCAATTAACGAAATCTTTTCGAATGTCTATTAAAACGCATAGTGCTATTCTAAGAATGTCATGCATGGTCAGATCTGCCTTGCTTCTCTCTTATTGTTCATTGGTAGGAGGGGATGTGTTCTACTATCCTTGATTACTATCGCTTTTACTGGTTACTTTCGTTTGTAGTTGTTCTTTGCAGCGTTATTTTGCGATAATTTCCCTCTGACAATATGCATGATCTCAACATGTAACATCGGTTATGTATCGAAGATCTGACATGAATTCCAAGCATCGTTCAAGAGCTGATTCCTTATATTTTTAATTAACAAAGTCTACAGAAATATATAGTTACAATACTGTAAGGTTTGAAGCTAAATGGGGCTATTATAACATTTATAACAGTAACCTAATCTTTTGTATGCTTAACAGTAATGTTCTTTAATGCTTCCAATTTATGTTTCGGACGTGTCATGTTAAAAAGTTAAAATTTGAGGTGATGAAATTATCCATCAATAAGGCTGAATTTTAATCTCGATTTTGTCTCAAACATTCAAAATAATATATCCCCAAAAGTCGAGATAGAAAACAATTTTCTTTTTTCTCTTGCAAGCGAGATCTCGACCACGAAAATCTTTATTTGCATTAGACAAGAGACTAAATTCTAGGATATAGGATTACAAAGTACTCATATTGAGTTTTTGATGTATCGTTTGACTACCCAGTTCTGTTGAAAATATAGATCACTATTGATTGTAAGGAATGTTGCTTCTAAAAGATTAAGCTTTTAAGAACTTTTTTTGTTGTTATATGTATTATAGTCGCTTACCATAAATGAGGATAGTAGCATAACACATCGTAAATCACTTTTAACGACACGTATCCACGATTACCGAGTTTGCCGATTCAAATGCACTCCTCGTTAGCAGAGTGCAAAAACATAATAGAAAGAGATAGGAGCCGGCTGGCCAGCAAAGCTCATCACCACGTTGCCTACCAACGCAGATGCAGAAGGGCGTCGCAATCGGCCGCGTTGCCAATACATTACACCAGCTCCTTGAATCGTGGTGCATGCTTAAACACTTCTCGCGCTTCTCTCTCATCCACATTGAACTCGGCTCGTCAGTGAAATATGAATTTCTTTGTATAAGGGCATATGTTGAAAATATTTGGCATTATGAAGAGAGCGACATACCGACATACCGAGGTTGTGTTTCTTCAACAGAATAGACATTTTTCGATATAAAGGCTAAAGGGCCTTGAAGTCTTGAATAAGTTGAATACTAAAGTTATTTGGAGTTAGCTTCAGATTCACCGCCATTATAGTTGGCTGGGTTACAGTTACAATTTATGGATTTTTCATTTGGAGGCAGTGATTGCTGTTTAATTCCGGTGAGCCGTGTATCTTCACTTGATAGCAATGATCTTCTCTCGTCTACTATTCCACCAATTATAGACTCATGGAGCTATTTTGTTTCAGCCCAAACACCACCGGTTCGACCACCGAGGGTAGAACAACCCGCTCCCATCACCAATGTAATGCTTAGAGACCAAAAACATGAAGTAGAAGAACCAACATACGAAAATTCTTATACTAATCCTGGCTTATTCAACATGATACGAAGAAGTATATCCTTATCTCAGGAATCTGCAATCAACGTCACTAGCAAGGTTGGCAGTAAACCTACGGTAATTGATGAACAAAATAAATTAAATAATTATAGGTTATATAAAACACGATATTTCTGTCATGATATTATAATACGTTCAGACGTCTCTTTAAGTGACTCATTGTATTAATTTTGTACTGTTGGCACTTGGTCGACATTCAGTAATGTATCCCACCAGGTATCTCCAAATACTGATTAAAACCCATTTATTTGATAGCTGAATTGAAATTCTATTCTTACTCACCAGCACATCCTAATCAAAAATCACACTGACAACCAAAAGAAGGTTCACTTTAAAAAAGGGTGAAAAAGCAGAAACACATGAAAAAAAAACTATAAGAATTATAAAAAGCACCATCACCAACATGCCTGAATTGCTCGGATCAAAGGATTAATAATATCGACACACATATCATCTGTTGACGTGGGATGCGGAGTACTAATCATACAAATGTACTCGTATTCATTAGCAGCTTTATTCGTCGGATCATTCAACTCGCACAAAAACATTGGCATCGCTAGGACGTTGCAAACAGTACGATAGGTAGGCCTGAGTCTCTTGACCATTTAGGGTATTTTAGATATGTTGATACGTTTTGATTTGTTGAAATGTCATGGTAAATATTTCCTCACATTGTTGATGGTATCTTCAAATTTACTTTCTACATTGAGGCTGCCTTCTATAGCGAGTTTCTCAGCTTTCTAATTTCATGATCATCTTCCATGAAAAAATGGAGTCAGCTTGATTGACCCATTGATATAAATTTGTTTAAAACTTCAAATACGGGTAAGCTGCCTTATATTTTAAAATCTTTGGCCCTCCAGAAACTCTTTGATAGCGCGCTAAAGTGATGATGAAATACTTGAGATTGATATTTTTCTAAATGTCATCCCTTCATTTTTTACTTCATCCAAAAATTATCAGACAATCTAAAAGCAACAAAAATGAAAGTTTGCCACTTATTTTTATGCTAATAACTCCGCTGCCACTGATACAATATTTAAAGCCCACAAGGCTTCCATGTTCTTGGGTAAAAACAGATCGACCCAGATGGATGACACTACGCGAAGTGATATATCCGGAAGAGCATAGCTCGATATCGCGACTATATCACTTCATCGTCATTTGACATGGGAAGTAAAACTACAAATGTCCTTGTTATATCTGCACCGTACTTCATCGAAATCATGCTTAGGATACTTATACTTTCTAGTTGATCTTGACAACAATAAAATCTAATTCTATATTATACTCAGCAGCGCAGAAGCACCTTCTACATAACAGAGCCATTCGATGCAGATGGTGATCCAAAGACTGATCAAAGCGAATGTGGTACTGATAGAAGCAACAGAGATTCAGTTTCCTTATCGCCAACAAGAACAAAGGTCGCAAGGCCCAAGAGCCCACCTCCACCAGTTCCGCCACATGATTCTGGTAAGGTTCATGTTTTGTTATCAACAGTAATCTTGATCAGCGTAAATGCTGGTTATCTCATATTGTCTGTATTTCTATTGGTTTGTGACAAACAAATGTTAAAATCCCAATTCAACCATACTCGAGTACCAAAAGCGAGGAGAGCAGCAAAACACATCGCACGCCACTGGCAGCGCGGCAACTTCTTGAATACGGCGGAATTATCACGCTGTAACTTTGTTGATATTGAAGATCAGCGCAGACTAATCTAAAAGCCAGAAGTTGTCACTCAATTGCGTTTAAATAAAACATAAGGGAAAGAGCGTTACAATAAATGATCTTGAAGGAAGCGTTCCATGTGCATAACACATAGTAACGTTGTATTTAAAAAAATCTGAATATCATGGTAGTTATTTAAAAAAAATGAAAAACTAACATTTCATAAGTTTTTATATGTTTTATTATATGAGTTGGGCGTTACACTTTCAAAAAAGTAGCTGCTATAGTTCGAATGGCGCATATAATGGGGTTATTTGCACTGCTTGAAATATGTCAAAGCTGTCATACTTGTACGTCGCTTCGATTGCGTTAAACGTTTTTGAACTTTTGAGAAAGCGAATACTTGATTTCACAAAAGATTTCAATCAGCTGGCAGATGAATGGCTGATTTCCTCTCTGGCTGCAAAATGATTTCTAGTAATTTATGGGCTTTCCTCTTCATCCCGCAATATCAACATGGGTGTTCCCCATAGATCCTTCATGGCTCCAATGCTAATCATGTTACATATTAACGACCTCCTCTGGTTTCACAGCTTTATTCCATTGGTTTTGGCTATTCAGGAGTCCACATGACAGAGGACTTGATTTGGCACGAAACCTGAATCGAGACTGTTGCTGGGAACAGCTTGGGTTATTTAGTTAGGGCTCAGCAGTACCTTTCTCTATATAACCTCTCCTCTCCGTGCAAGGTCACGTTAAAACCCAGCCTCGAGTGCTACTCACATTTTTCAAAGTACAATCTATTAAATACATAGGGCACCTGGGGCAAGTTGCTAGTGCATCATTTATTAATGTGTGATGACACTCCTTTAGTTGAGCATATTGTATGTTTCACCATAAGTAATATAAATAGGAATTGATGAACAATATTGTGTACTGCATTTTGTCTGCCAAAAAAAAAGTAATACGTGCATAAAATTGGAGATTCTGTGTATGTTTTACATAGCGATACCAGAGCATAATGCCGCACTCATAGGCTCAGCCCCCCATTTTGAAGAGAGTGAAAATTGTGACCTTTCGCTGTAGTCTATATTAAAAGGTGGTAAATTTCATTTTTCTTATGTGTTGCGGAATGCTTGAATATTTTAGAGCATATGTGTTTTATACTAAGATCAACATTATTCTTTTTATTTCAGTACTTTAATTGTTTTTTAAATGGCCAAAGCTCACAATTTTGCCATTCTTGCCCAAGATTCACCCATTTTCGAGTGCTAATTAATTTTTTATATGATCTAATGGTCACTACACTTTTTACTTACTACTACAAATATATACTAAAACATATTGAGATACAGAACATATGTGAAAATGAAAGTTGGAACAAACAATTATTATAATATTTACTTTATTTTTTTATTTTTTTATCGGAGATTTATTCAGCATTAACGACAGTCAGTTTTGTATAATCAGTCGTTACCACATTTATTCAAAGTTGTATCGCTATGCACTTTGGGTATTCATAAAGTGATTTTTTAATTTTACCTTAAGCATTTTAAATACTCCCTTTTGAGATACAGATTTGTCAATTATGCTACGATTACAATTTTGCAGATACAAATCTCCACTGCCTCTAGTTTCATAGTTTCGATAATGACTGTTTAATTTTGGGAAGTTTTCTGAAGGTGGTGGTAATAAATGAATTATTAATTTGCATATGAAAATGAGAACTAAATAATATGTTTTTTTTACATTCAACCGCTGCAGAGCTTCTAACATAGACTTAGCCTCAGCGTATTTGTTTTTACTTGAAGTGATTCTCATAAGCTTATTTTGTAGAATTCGTAATTTTGAAAATGTGTTTCCATTTGCTATATGCAAAATAAAAAATGAGGAAAAATAATTGGTGTTATACACATTTCTTTGGATTACATCCTTAGATGAATACTAGATTAGGATCTATGCTCAAGTCGGCAGCTTTCATCGCCAGATAATAGACGAGGATTTCGGGACACTCTTCCCGGGAAAGTTGACGACCGCGTTCATTTTTTAGGTTGTAGTATACGTATTTAATGCGTTTTATATACTTAAAACAAATATTTGATTTATCACTGTGTTATCGTTTTCCTTCTAGATAAAAATACTGTAAAATGTATGTATTATACTTATTTTTATTTGAGAAACAGCTGAATTTTCTTATGGTAGATACCGATGTCGAAATAAAACTAAATCAATTACTCATATGCTCATATTATTTATGTAAAAACAATAAAATAAGATCTTAGGTATGCATTTGGATTTTAGAGACCTTACTAGTCAATATGGGCGCCACCTATTAATAACATGCATGTTCATTCAAGCTACAAACAAAAATAAATTAGAAATTACATTTTACAATGTTTTCAAATACGGTATTTAGCTTATGAGGACAGAATAGAGGGTGGTCTGTGTTTTTTGACTGGAAGCCAGTCCCAAATGGAGGAGATCAGGTTGCAGTAGTGTAATTAGTGATCTCCTTTAAGGTGGTAATTGCGTATGCACAGTGTCTAGAAGTATCTGAATTTTTTATATTGTTAAGGTATTGACACATGTTTTTTGAGTTTGAATAAAATTGACTGTCCTGGCTTCTGAGAGAAGATTCATTATAAACTTAATAACGTCCCGTATCATTCCGTTTTCACCAGAAGCAAATACTCTTGTACTACTTTATTGGTAAAACTTCTACCAAGATAATCCATTGAAGACATCGCAAAACATAATTGCTGGTAATTTAACTCTGTTCTTTCTCATTTCTAACTCCGCAAATCTGTTTTTTCCGTTGTAGAGGATTTGTACTTGACATACTTTACTTGAAGATACCGTGGAGGTATAGGGCAGTTACACAGGAAAAGGTGAGACGTCTCGCGGATATAGCTTGGGAACACGTGTGCATATAACATCTACACATTCTGGCCCCACCTTATAGATCCGTCGGGTGGTATCTCAACGCTCGATGGTCTGATACCATCTACCCATTTCGGAAACCGGATTACGTTTTGTGGATAATACAATGAAATAAAATGAGCGTGATAGTTATTTATAATGTTTTTATCTCCCTAGATATTAAAAAATGACAGAATAGGTCCTGTCGCTTCTGGTTACATACGCTATCCGGTAGCAACTGGGCAAGGTTAACTCTGATTTTTTCTTTAAGGTAAAAAATTAAGTCAACCAGCTTCTCAGGAGCTTTCGACTGCAAAGAACCAATCAAATAGAACCAAATCGCTCTACACAGAAGCCGGTCTTTTCAAACCAAACCCCATTCGACCAAAGAGTAGTACCTCTTGGTACTCTGATGCCGGTCTCTACTCTTCCGACTCGTCCTCTGCATCAGAAAGCAGTGCGAAACGCTTCGCAGTCGTGATCAACGAAATGAAATCAAAATTGAGCGGAACCAGCGATAAGAATCACAACATAGCTGAGGATCAGAACCATAACGAAGACGCTGGTGAAACAAATTGCGTTGATGCCATAAATGAAAGCGTTTACAAGAACCAGAGCGTGGTGAGTCCAGATTCCGAAAGGGGAAGTACCTTTTACACCGAAAACGAAAGTGAATATTATGCAGACCTGAGTGTGAGCAGTCATGATTCAAAGAATGATGATTCGTCGGTGACGCAGAGTGATAGCAAATTTTTGGAGTACGAGCCTTTGTATCAATTTTACGATGCTTCAATACTAGAGGTAAGTTTGGTTCTTCCTGGAGTCATTTTTGTTTTTTTGCCTTTAATCAGAGCAGCAGAATTTGTGAATCCTATTGTCACTGGCCACTTGATGCGCCAAAGATGCGATCAGCTTGCAAGAACTATTATGAACTAGATCCTAATCCTATGCTCAAGTCGGCAGTTTTCATCACGTCAGAGAATAGAAGAGAATTTTGGGACTCTCTTCCAGGTAAAGCTGACGACCGAGTTCGTTTTTTAGGTTGTAGTAAGGTCAACAGTTAAATGTTGTCTGGATTTTCAACTTTTAATACAGGGTTGTCAGATTGAATGCTTCAAAAAGGAATCTTGGAGTTGTGGAAATAATGTAACGTCTGAAACTTATTCTCACATCTCAATAACCCCCTTTCTTGTCTAGCCAATAAAACCACAAGTATTGTCTCAATACTACATAAAAAGGATGATAATAACAGAAGGAAGGCTTCTGTGGACTGTAACCCAATTTGGTTGCATATCTTGGAAGAAAATATCTAATTAGTATTCTCCAACCTAACTAAAGGACCGTGAGTTTTTCGTTCAGGTTTTTTCTCATGGTTTGTTGTTGGATTTTAAAGGCAACAGATGTTCTGCTTTGCCATCTCAAGGCAAACTTGTTGCATCTTTTCTCACACGACAAACAACGTGGTTCCCTTTAGATTTCGAAGTAGTATATCTTGCGTCTCGGATCTAAAATAATGTACTTGCAACAATTTAGTCGAAGATTGCATAACAATTAACCGGTGCGTTACGACAAAAGTTCTGGGTAGGCTTTCGTGTTTTTTGGAGGGCTATTAACTTTTTCAGGACGATGGACGAGGGCGAGGTATCTGGTATATTAAAAACGACAGCTTCATGCTCGCTTGTCGTTTTGGGAGGCTGGATGTACTATTTCGAGAGCGCGGATGCCTACCCCAGGCCATCCCGGCCTATGTTGGTTTTGCGTGGTTCCATCTAAAAATTCGGAATACTCGTAATCACTCCGCAAAATCTCAGCATGTTATGGGACTTTCAGGCTATTGTAGTAATACACTGTATAGGAATGTTATAATTAAGATACAAAACAAAGGCACTGACACCTGGAAGTCAGATGAATAAAGTATATTGTGATTGCACTGAACAAGATCACATTTGTGATCTTTGTGATTGAAACGTTTACAGAAAAGAATATTCTGTCAATACATGTGGTCTTTTTCGCCAGACAAGCATGAGTGTTATTGTGGAAATAATGTCGCTCGTTCATAAGATACATGATGTGAAAGTGATTTTAGAAATAGTATTTTCACATACTTTATGTTCTGTTCTTTAAGGTAGTATGTAGTGGGCGGTAGTTAGACTGTAATCTCGCTATTTTATGCATATTTTCTCTGCCAGTGCCATCCTGATATTTTTCATTAAAATATTTTTATAGAGTGATGATCCGCAAGTGAAAAGGGAACTCAAACAGACTCGTTTTAAGGTATGTATGCATTTCTACTTTCTGTCGTGAAGTTGAACGTCTGGCTCAAACACAGTCAATAATGTAATATGACATGTTTAAGAAATACCCGATCTATCAAGTGTTGTAAAATATGTATATGCCAAGCACTAAAATTTTTTGGGAGTTGCTTTGCTTTTTAGGAACGCGGCTATGTTCTACTCTGCATGAAATGTCTTGAGCCAACTAATTTGACTGTGCAACAGGATGTTGAAATGCGAGTAAAAAAAGTTTCTCTGATCGTAGAAATGGAGGATGTCCTCTTTATCTAAACCGTCATTACTCTATAATGTTTTGTGAAAGATAATGGAGTGGTACTGGCAAGAAACTTATGCTAACATTATAGGCTGTTAAGGCGGCTCCGACGATGTGAGTTTCAAGCCATTTACAAGGGTTCAGCTGCTTCGAAACTGACACTCCATTTTTCATTATTTATGAATGAAATTCATACAGTATGTTGAGAACATAATTGCCCAGGGTGCTATAGGAGCACTTTTTGAAATTTTGTGTTTGCACAAGTTTTATGATTGGTTGAAGTGCGCACTTTTTCTGTTCAACTTCGCGATTTTTTTTAAAAAGAACCTAGTCAAGAAAATGAAAAAACGGCTCTATAGCACCCTGTGGGGTTTTGTTTTCAGCACACTGTGAAAATTTCATCCAAACATATCAAAAAAGAAAGCATGATTTCGAAGCGCGCAAACCCCTACAAATCGTATTTTGGACGAATTTTGTCTACTGTTTCGTCCTGCCAGTCCAAGCGACGCGACGGTGCGTTCCGACTAAGATTGAACTGCCGTGTCCAATGATTTTTGTATTGCCTTTTTTATTGCCTTACTAGAAAACTCTGTTGGGTATATGATGGAGTTTACTAGAACTTTACAGCTTGTTTTCTGCCTTCTTCTACAAACTTCACCAAATCGAGACGCTGTCAACCTTATTCTCAGATGAAGGCGGCACAAAGCACAGTCCTGTGATTTGGTGACTTGTTCGATCTGCAAAATCTCGTCGTTACTTTTTCTGAGTTTCCCTAAAAACCCTTGCTTAGCAACCTCCAAATCAATGTCATTCATGTTAGGTTTTTGACAGAATTCGCCATAAAACTATTCATTTTCTTTGGAATTGCTATCCGAATTGTTGTATTTTTATATCAACTTTTTTGGTCTCAGTTTCTTTTCAAGATTCTTGCGTTTGAGTCTTTGTTCCATCTTAGTGATAAGCGAGGTTGGACTAAGCTTAGAACGCAAATTTATTGGGACCACATAGACAGGTCGCACGGTATTGTGGCTCACTACAGCTGCAGCACATCTTCCATGGTATGACCTCTTCTTGCAATAATTTATTCGCTTACCCCAAGGTATTTTGCGATTATCGAGTTGAACTGCTCCACACTACTGTTGTCATCATCATGAATTAAACTCACTGCATTCGTAATTAAAATTGTCGCATATGACCTTTTATTGTCCATTAACCTTTAAAAAAAGAGGCACTCAAGAACAATCACACCAACAAGAGTACAGCACAACAATTCAACAACACAATATCGACGAACAGTAACAAGGGTAGAACAATACTAAATGATCACTTGCTGAGTATCAAAATAGGAAACGATTTACAGGCTAAATCACTAATCGAAACCCGACTCTGTTATTATAAAAAATTACCTGGGTACACACCTGCAGTCATCCTTTGATCTTTTAAAGTAGTGCCGATGACCGTCTAAGGCCAGCACACCCTCGTTTCTTTTTCACCCCCCTTTCCCTCAGCAGATGGTGTTCGTGATTGTAGGAGCCCCGTTAACTAACGCCCTCCACATCTCTATTAAAAAACAGAATATAACCGTGAACAAATCCAAGTACATTTTGTCAAATACTTCATTTTTAAAGGACGGAAGCGACTATATGCTAAAATAAGATAAAGGTTTGGATACTCGAATTCACTAAAACCGGGGGTGGTAGGGGGTGCAGGAGGGTATATCTCATTGTTTTGTCGGCAGTATATTTATACTCTTCCAACCCTAGTAATTTTACTCACTTATCAGTACATATTTCACACCTCATAGATTTCTCCCGGTGAGGCAATAATAAAGGAAGCCGGTTATATCTCAGAAACGTCTTAACCTAGAGACATTAGTTATTCAATTTCATGACAGAAAAGGGCATATTTTCAAATTCGAAAATTCAGACGTCATTAATATGCAGAAATGCCTAAATAACATACCGATTCAATAACTCTATTATGTTGGTTGATCAATTTTCCAACTTATTACTTACTGTCATTTTTCCATATTTTGATTCGTTCAGAGTGGGGGAAGGGTTGGATGTCATTTCAGAAAAAGTTATATCACTTTTGTTTATCTGCACCGATTTTCATGATATTAGTTTCATTTGAAAGAGCTTACGTCTACGCTCCTGCCATTGTATTTGCAATTAAAAAAAAAAATAAAAAACAGTACAGCAAAACAGAAAATATATTGTTTTTTCCGAAATGACACTCAACCCTTACTCCATACTAAACGAAACAAAATATGGAAAAATGACATCGAACAAAATTTGAGCAATCAATAAAGACTTATCAAATCAGTACGTTAATTAGGCATTTTTGCAAAATAATGTCAAAGGATTTTTGAAGTTGAAAATATGCTCACTGGCGGCCATTTTCGGAAGCTGAAAATAATTTCCAGCAATTTCCCTTGACTACTTTTGTAACGAAATTGTTTAATGCATGGCTGCAAAGGTTAAGCCGTTGTTGAGGTATAGCCTCCCACTCTTTATTATTCGGTCACCCGTAAATATTTTTAGACGCGACACGTGGTAGGCCGGGATGCAACCCTCATACGGTCAGCACTGTCTGCGTCCAGCTGACTCTGACTACATTGCCGGAACTCTGCCGCCGATTGCGTGGTTTACTAATGTGGTTCAGCACCGTTGCCAGATTGTCAGTACTTAGATCAGGGAAGAAATTAGCGTTATCAAATGGGTGGGGACTATGGAGTATGGACTAACTGTATGCGCCTGTCTGGTTGACGTTAGTTTTTTCTTAGACATTTTTGTAGCTAGTACACATGGACTAACTAGTGCCGAAGATAGTCGTTTATGAAGTGATGATAACGTTGCGTGGGAAGGGCAGAGTCAAACTACTTGATGCCATTTCCTGTTTTAATTTTCCAAAGTGAGCTTTTTACCAATTAAATATTTCGTCAATTAATAAAAAAAACAAGTTTATTGTGAAAAAACTGTCAAATGTGGAGCGTTTTCAGATTGCTTATATCTACCTCAAAAATTAAATCGAATAAACGTGCTAATATTACAATCATTGCATAGCAAAACATTAGGATAGTTGCAAATTTTGAAAATGTACCGTATGTTACTAAAATCCTTTTTCTTTTTTTTGTTTTGATATATACATACATAATACATACAATCTACAGAAATCACTTTCTATTTCTAAACAGTGGTCTATGGGAGGGTGGGCTCGAGCTCTTAAGCCCCCATATATACTCTCTTGCCTCATCCTTAAAAACTCCAGATTGCCAATTTTTATACTGATGTTAACTTGAGCAGTAGAGTAAAAACGATTTTAAGTTTGACACCTTGTGTTTCATCAGATTAATCTAGGATTCCTGTCTGTATTCAATACGGACCACCCAGTACAAATTGGAGCCATAGTTGACATTAAATCTACCTTGATAATGGACCAACACCGTTTTCTTTTTATTTATGGTATTAAGAATCCGTTATCCGAGTTTGAGAGCACAATCAGTTCACTATTTATACTACTTTGATAATAGGTGCTCATTCCGGCGTCAGCTATTTTGAGATACAAACAGTCCGATAGCAACGACCATTTGATAAGAGAGAATGATTCACACTACGTATCAAACCATTCCAGGCCAGCTATAACGATGACATGTCCGAGTTCGACTCTTCTGACATCTATGAAGTCGTTACCGTTGGCATGCAAGAAGACAACGAATATACCTCTTTCCCTAAGTCACCCGATAACAGCAACATGCTATGTAATAAGCAGAGCATGATAGCTTTCACAAGAAGTTTGTGGTGTGAAGTTCCGGAAGTAGCGGATTCAGTAGTTCTGAGTAAGTGTTAATATTACACAGACCAATAACTCAATCTTCATACATTATTTATTCGAGATTAAAGAAGTATATAAAATTGGTGAAAAATTCAGTCAAAAAATTCAATGCATTGAACAAGCGCCTAAAAATTGTTTTGTCGGCGCCGTTATATTGGCGTATCATTTAATTCAACGGTTGAGCCACCGGTGCAACCAGTTAGCCAATATTGCATCCTCTAATCAATATAAAGGTAAGTTTGGTGTACAACCGTTCGTTCCAGCAGGAATTAAAAATGTTCTACGTTTCACAAAAAAATTACTGCTTCATAATAGTCTCACATGAAATACCTGAGCTTAAGCTGTCATTCTGCGCGGAGTTTGCGTTAGGAGACAGCGACCGACAATCAAGCCTGACACCATACCATAGCGAATATGCAGAAATGTCATAATGTCACTGTGTAATATTGGAACAAAGGAAAACGAATTAAGCAACGTCAGGCAGCCTCTTATTGCCTTTCCATACTTACATTTGAATTTGAGTATTTCACAGTGACTTTATGAGTGCCACTAGACCAGAGATTTGATTAAATATATTTCTTGTTTCTGGTAATTGTTCTGCCGTCCCCAGTGCATTGATTTTCGGTAAATCAAATTAAAAATATATTTAAAAAATAAGCTTTTATTTAAAATTAAAAATTGAATTTAAAAATATTTTTTTCCTATTGGAAATGTTTAAACGCTAATGAAGCTCCTTCATATCAAGTTTACAAATAAAAGCGTGTTACACCTTTTTTCGATATCCTGGTGCCAAAACGTAAACGCTTATATTTGAAAGCTTGAGAAAATGGAGCTTCATTATCATTTAAATATTTCCAATCGGAAAAAATGATTTTTAAGTTCTTAGTAGATTTTATGAACAGCTAAATAAAAGCTTGATTTTAAAAATGTATTTTTTCATTTTATTTGTTTTACTTTTTTGTACTTCTGATGTCAAATAACGTGTTTGGTAATTTATATATAACTTTCATATATTTTATTAATAGGACTGTATAAAACTTCTTACTTTCTTTGTATTATAAATTTCGGTAGATATAAATCATGCCTGTACCTATAATGATAAATCGTTATTTTGTTGCAATCGCCATATCTACGAATAAGTAATAATGAAGTTATTTGCTCATCGCATTTCTCTAACTAAGCCCTTTGATTTGATACCCAGAATATAGTGGTAACCATGGGAATTATCGCCATATTGGATCTAGAATGACGTCACTTTGCTTATAGTGCTTCCCTCAACAAGCCCTTCCACTTGATACCTAAAATATAGGGGTGACTATGAATATTACAAATCGCCATCTTACGGTGTCCGCCATATTAGATTTAGCATTACATCGCGTTGCTTTATTTTGATACCTATAGGTATATATAACAGTAACTATGATAATTACAAATGCCATCTTGGGGCGGTCGCCACTTTGGATTTAGAATAATGTCACTTTGCTTATTTGTTTCTTTCAGCAACCCTTTTATTTAGAACTCATATCATAGAGGTGGCTGTGAAAAAAGTAAATCGCTATTTTGCGGCGGCCACCGTATTGGATTTAGAGTGACGTCAATTTGCTTATTGTGCTTCTCTCATGAAGCCCTCTGATACCCATATCACAGAACCAAAGTAAAAAAAATTCAGCTCAATTGGTTAAGACTGACAGGACTGACAGGAAATTCAGTTTTAAGAAACAGGACAAGTTAATTACAACTTTATATTAGCTTACAGGATGCTAACATTACGTGGATACAAAAAAATTGTGACTGACAGACTGCTCAACAGACCAGCAGAAACTGATATGGATTTCGTGATATACCTAGAGATCATAAAATGTTAAAAGGCTTTGAAAAGTTTCGTGATCATAATACAATCATAAAACAAGTACTACAAAATATATTAATTCTTGTTTCATTGCATGGCCACTGAAGAATGATTTTAAGCTTTTTGGTTTAAAAAAATCATTTGGTTTGCACCTTGCATCCAAAATTACATTCTCTACGTCCTGGGAGCAAAATATTTAGCCTGTTTTACGTAATATTCTAGGTCAGCTGAGCCCTGAACAGAAAAAGCTACAAGAGGCAAAGTTTGAGATTATTACCTCAGAAGCATCGTATTTAAATTCATTAAATGTCCTCAATGACCATTTCATCTCCAAATTCAGAAGTTCGAACATAGTCAACGAAAAGGAGATGGAGATACTTTTCGGAAAAGTAAAAAAGGTAAACGACGTATTCTATCTACCAGTATCTGATTTTCTTGTTTTTCCAGTAGGAGAAAAGCTACTCTGTCAAGGGGTATTCCAATTAGCTTGGGCAGATATTGAAATGGACCAAAACAACGGTAACAACGATTCTATTTTGTTTTTATAGTAAATTCAAGGCATATGGCATGGGGCAACTGACAACTTGCATAATTGCACAGTAGTGATTATGCGGCAAAGATCCGGCTGAATTTGAAAGATGGTTTGTGGTATGTTGATTTTGATGGCATTAATGGGCTGCAGTTTATTGACGCAGCTTTGCGACTCCAGAAAAGCTCAGAAAATAGTCGTTAAAGGCAAGAAGGCAAGACGTACGATTTTGGTGACCAATTTTTGTTGCTGTGTGGCATGTAGCACCGTACTGCTGGGACCACCTCATTAACAACATTGTTTCCGAAAATCTGAGAATGCTTCTTAAGTGCAAAATCTACACCAAACAACTTTTTGCGGATGCGTCGGCATCTGAAAATTAAAAATTAAAACAAAGTAGTAATTTACAAATCGGACCTCTTGACTCCATGCCACTGTACGAAGCCGGAGCAGGCGATAAGCTCATGTGATTCTCAGATGAGAAAAGTATTTCGTTATAGTGCCCACTACCTTACGAATTTCAATGTGATCGGGGAATCACACATAGCTTTCCTATTGGATTCTCATCTCGTAGTTTGTTATTTGAGCGCAGGACCATGGCTCTTGTCTGTCAGAATGATTTTTCTTTCATTAAAATCTTAATCTCAGCTAGAGAAGATTTTTTTATCAAGTAGAAGATAGAGGAAGGCGAAAGGAAGAAAGAAAAGAAGAAAGAAGAGGAAAGAGGAGGAAAAGAATTAACTAATAAGAGGAAAAGTTGTTTAATTTAGATTCCACAAGTTGCTTAGTTTGTTTAGAGTAAGTCCGGAAGATTTATAATTAAGGAAGCCAGGCAGGGTCTTTTATGTTTAGATACTGGGGCCGGAGCATAGTCTACTGCGGCACGCAACAAAGGGTTACTATAAGACCTTCCACTGTCACAACGCTTCCTAAAGGCGCGGTCAATTTTTCCACATGACTATCGCCTCTTAAGTCTATTGTCTTCTCCAACTAAACTGGTCGAAAGTGTGAATCACACCCATCTAGAGAAGTACTGTATTGAACTCCAAGCAATAACCGTCGTAAAAGTCAGACTTGGCACCAAGGAGAGTACGGAGCAACAGTCAACAGTCTTGTGGAGATGAAAACCTCTGGATTAACTCAAAATCTAAATACTAGACCTCTTTTTCTGGATATTTCAAAGGCTTTCGACAAACTGTGGTTTATTTGTGCTGTATAAATTGATCAATAAGTGCTTTCTCTTTTGGCTATCCATATTTCTTAAATCCTTCCTAGAAGGAAGAAGCTTCAAGAACAAAATTAAAGATACATATTGGAATCGAGTCGCAATTATCGCACACACGAATGGGCAAATTCTGTGAAGTGGTGTTTTTGATAATAAGGAATCGGGTCCTCGATCTCAACCCAGTCCGTATGTGAGAGTACCATTATAGTACTTTTAATATAGCTGGTTAAATTCCGATGGCAGCAATGTCCAACTTTTCTCCCTCTATGTCCGCCAATGCGGCTGGAGATCAAACTGTCAAAAGAAGATATGAGCAAGATTGAAAGGGCAGGTGTGTTTATATCCTTAAACATGACCGCTAGCCCAGCTAGACCATCTATTTCTAGTTCTCCAGATTACTCCCCATTACATATCGCCCCGTGCTTATTGGAAACCCCCCATATTTGCTAATTTTTTTTCTATATCTTACTAAATATATCTTTTGCAGTGAGAAATTGCTCAAAAAAGGTGTTCCACGATTTAGAAAAGTGTTGGAGGAAGAATATTCTTCTGGATGGAATCTGTGATATAATACAAAAGCACGCTGAAAGCGATTTTGACACTTTCATTCCTTACTGTGAAAACCAGGTGATAATAGAGGACACTCTAAACGAATTAAAGTACGTACATGTTTTCTTTTAATTAAACATCTTATATGAGCTGTTCTAAGTAAACAAATAAAAAAGCAATACCATTTGCTACGCATGAGCCTACTTTTGGTCTAAACATGTTTCTCACTAGTTAAAACTGGATTACAGAATGACTAAAACTATAGCTACTAAAAAATAAATTTTAGATAACAGCGGTTTCAGATTCAGTTTTTGGTGGACAAACACCACGAAATATGAAACCACAAAAATATTTACTTTTACCTCCCAATTTTAGTCGCCAGACAGAAAGGTTTAATTGAACAACGATATTCAGATATAATTTATTCATTATTTTAGGAAAAGACAGGAATTTAGTGAATTTCTGGTAGAACTCGAATCAAGTCCAACGTGCCGATTTTTAGATTTATACTCGTTTTTAATGTTACCAATGCAACGAATAACAAGATGGCCGTTGCTTGTTGATGCCATTCTGAAAAGACTTTCTCAGGCTGATCCAGAATACATCAGTTGTCAATACGCCTTAGCAAGTGTAAATAAGGTATGTATAGGGTAGGTGGGGGCAAATATCCGCATTTTAGCATTTGTAGTTGCTTGTGACGCATTCGTCTATAACACGAACTTCAAACTTGTTGACATGTTAGAACTATTAATACTCTTGACTTGTAACATGAATCAAATGCAAAATATACGGATGTATGTTTGTGAAAAAGTGTCATACCAAAACATGATGATCCGGACGTTTGCCCCTTGGAAGTGGGTAAAAATCCGCATTCAGGACTTTTGCCCCTTTCAGAAAGTACCTCCAAAAAATGAAAACTGCATGTCACATAACTGAAGAATATATTTCCAGAAAAACATAGTATTTTATAAAATACAAAAGAAATAATATTTATAACAAAACAAAGTTGCTCAAGTCTGTTGAAAACGTAACCGAATCCTTGAACCTGGCGGAACTGCCTGTCTGTGGCATGGGGAGTCTACTTACTATGTCACACTTATTGACAAAGAATTCTTCAGTAGTTTCAATGAATCTCTGTGTATCGGACGCTTTTTTGAAATACCTTCCGCTACAACCATCTTCCATCACTTCAATAATCCGCATCACGTAATGGCGAAATGATTTTTTGTTTTTTCCGTATACTTTGACAACGACAAACTGTCCTGGGGTAAATTCACGGACTGTTTCATCATCACTGGTTGAAAGATTCAAATCGCTACTACTATCGTACTGATTCGGATTCCGATGAGGTCTCGCTATTTTTTCTTGTGAGATTTTGTTTTTCTTTGAACACGTTTCTTTTTACTTTTTTATCCCTTTTAATCTTCGCTTTTCTTTCCTTTTCTTCCATTTTTCTTTTCTTTTCTTGCTCTATATTTTCTAATTCCTCTTTGTTTGGAGTGGAAGTGAGTAAAGTAGATTTGAGTCCTTTTCTCGTCCGCTTTCTCTTTTTAGAAATTATAGGGAGAGGAATAATATCAGAAGGTAGCACAACACTACCTTCACAGTGTGAGGAGCACGATGCTTCCGACAAAATTAGGGAGTTGTCTGGTACATTATTTTTCTTTTCATTAGATTCGAGCATTATTGCTCCACTATTGCCATTTCCACTATTTATCTCTCCTCTATTGCTCTCTCCACTACTGCCCTCTCTACTGGTGCCCTCCTCACCTATGCCCTCTGCTACATTTCCCCCTTCGTTATCGCCTTCGGGCTTGTTTTCTTCAAATACAATCACTAAATGCATGTCAGGGTCATTTTTGTCCAGGTCGTCTATGTCGTCAATCTCCTGTTCGGTCACAGAAGCTGGAAGAAAGTCTTCTTCAGTGAAAATATTTTCATTGAGTGGGTATATTCCAGTCATCTGAAATCCATTAACGGCTTTTTCAATACTAGCAGTTTTTTCATAGGCCTGCTTGAATAGTCCAGCAACGTGATATTCTGTTACTACTTGTCCAGGATTCGAGGTAGTCCAGTTATCACACAAGTCATCGTAGTAACCTTTAAGTGGCCTGAAAAAACTTCTGTCCAAGGGCTGTGTACGGTGACTACTATGTGGTGGAAGACTGAGCAAGTGTATATTATTATTCTTTGCGTAGGTTATCGCCTGCAGGCTGGTATGAGAAATGTGATTGTCCAGAATCAACAGTATAGGGCTGTCAAAAGTAGGATTTGTGTACTTGCGAAAATGCTCTAAATAATCTACGAATCTTAGTGAATTCATGTATCCTGAGTCCGTTACACCTAAAGCTGAACCACTTGGAGCATCCTTTATCAAAAGAGAGTTTAATCTCTTTCGCGCAAAAATAAAAAATGGTGGAACATAGTGACCCGTTGCACTCATAGAGCATGCCACTGTCACAGTCTTTCCCTGCTCAGCAGCTACATTTTTGGCTACTTCTCTTTTTCCAGTGGGAGCCACATGTTTCGGTAATTTACTTGGGACGGTTTGAAATCCACTTTCATCCATGTTGTAAATTCTGTTAGCTGGAAATTTGTACTTCTCAAGGACATATTTCAAATTTTCGAAATACTGAGACAATTGCTGCTGGTTGAATCCCATTGTTCTAGCTACGCTAGTTTTTCGAGGGGTACGCAATGAAAGTCGATTCCTTTTCATGAATTGTCTCGTCCAATCTCTACCTGCTAGTCTAGTTTCATTATTAAATGGGTGAGGGATACCATTTCTGTGTGCGAACTGATATGCCAGAAAGCGGAGCGACTTCAAGGTAAGTCCGTAGAAACGTAAGTCCAATGCCTTACAATGGTTCACCATCTGTTGTTCTTGCACTGCAGTAAATACTTTTCGAAACCGCCCTAATGAATTTACGCCACTGCCAGCTTTTATCCTCTTTCGAATAGTTGATTCATCGTAGCCAAGGGCTCTTCCTATTTCCCTAAATGATAGCCCCTTTTCTCTCAACTCTTTAGCCTGTATCAGCACATACTCGGTGAGTGGCTTTAGGTTTTCTTTTTTTCTTATATAGGTCCTGAAAAAAGCGATTTACAGTTTACACTTTTCGGTCAAACGGTTGATTTTTTCATCAACAAAAACGGGGCAAACATCCGCATGGAACGGGAAAATGATCTTAGCGGATCGTTGCCCCATTAGGCATGCGGACTTTTGCCCCATAACGACACTTCAGATTTATCAAGGTTGGTGTGAAAAACATAACCTCAAATTAAGTTTAGTTTTTGGAAACGTGTTGTCGATGATACTAGTCTTTTAAAGCTACTGAAAAAATCTCCAGCAGATGCCTTGAAGACACATAATCCTCACCTCTATATTGAAAAATATTAGATTAAAGCAGAGAAATTCACAACTTACCTCATAATTATCACGTATAACGATGTACAGATCACGTGTTCACGCTGTTGCCACTTCTGCCAGATACCGACCGAGACATGCATCGCTGGGTAGAAAACAATAAGAGAGTTTCTAACTACACTATTGAGGATTTTTACCCCATGCGGACTTTTACCCCCACCTACCCTAAGTATAAGGGGGGGGGGTTTGAGTTTTTTCTTAAAATTACCGCAAACAAATTTTAGAAATAAGAACAAGAACATCATTCTACGGTATGAAATTCTCGGAGATGCAGTGTTAATAGTTAAATAGATACTACAGATTTTGGCGGGTAATAGTAAAACTGCCGGTATTACCTTCATACCTCCACCACCCTGATATGATCTATCGCTGTGTGCAGGTGTTTGTTTTTCTCGTTACGTGTGTGTTTAAGTACGTTTGTCACTGTCCGTATTACAACTCGCTTGTCATATACGTGCGATAAAAATAGTAAAGCCTGGCAAACTAGTCAACAACAAAACTATATTCGAGTTTCTCCAGGAAGTGAGTGAAAACAACAGATTAACATTACGCAGTTTATAATTTCCCCGATTAGGAAATTTAAACACCGTTTATGGTGCAGTTTTTCAACATCAGCTGATTTATTTCATATAGTATCGGTACATAATAGGGGATCCAATCTCGTAAGATATTCCAATCCCGGGATTTCGGGATTGGTCCCGGAATTTAAAATTAATTAATGTAATTAACTCTTTTTTAGTGGCTTTTCTTAACTCTTATTGGTTATAGCAAACTTAAAATAAATTTTCTAGTGAACAAGTAAACAACATAAGCAAGTACTTCAATAAAAATAAACAAACAACATTAAATAAAATACATCTTCATATAAAATACAAACATTAGATGCTATTCCTGAACTTTATTTCTTCTCTCTTAGAAAATACCTTAAAAAAATATCTAAAGTTTCATCTTACATGTCGATGAGAAGATGAACGGAACGTTTTTCAAGGAACGATGAACTAGTTCACTTAGTTCAGTCATAAAAATCGTTCGTTTGAACTAGTCCATTCGCGAATCAGACATCACTACACGAGACACCAGAGTACGGCGCCACACTTCCGATCATGCATAGTGCTGGTCCCTCCACCAAATTGGTTGCGCTGCCAAGTGGACGCCAGGTGAGATTAAGCAGTGTGAGAAAATTATTTATGAAGGATTGCGCCGTATTTTTCAGGAAGCAAACAATATTGCAATCCCCGGACCAAAATTATAATCCCGGGATTTCTCGGGATTCAAAATCCGTTGTTTTTGTACGGGATCCCATAATCCCGGGATTGGATCCCCTAGTACGTAGCCGCCGAAATTCGTGAAAAGACTTACAGACACTTTCCACTGTTAGATGTCAGAGCCAAAGATAATAAGCATAACTCCTCGTACGATGCGCGATGCACTATGTTGCTTTCCATTTTGTTCCTAGCACTACAGGATAAGTATCTGTTGATAAAATGGTCGCACTATCATGAGTAAAAGAAAAGGATAAGCTTATATTTAGACGTTATTAAAAAGAACTGAAAACTAAAAAATATCTTTTTCCGCTCAAATAGTATAGTATATATAGTATCTTTTAACTCTTAAACGACAGAGTAACGCCTTCGTCTTAAGTTTTTAAGTAAAAGTCGTATTTCGAAAATGTTAGCTTTTTATCATTTTAGGTTGTAAGTCAGTGCAACGAAGCTGCCAGGCAAAAAGACAATGAAGTGAAAATACAAAAAATCGCCAACACCCTTGACTTTTCGAAGTCCGCTCCTCCTGTAAACATAGTGAAAGAAAATCGATGGCTGGTGCTATCGGGTCGTATGACCTGCTTCCAACCAAAAAGCGAGGACACCAGGATGACTTTCGGAAAGAGATTCACCAAGTTCAATTTGTATTTGTATCTGTTCAATGACCTCCTGGTAGTCACTAAGGAGAAAAAGTACGTATAGGAGAATACCAAATATATTCAAATACTACGTACAGGGTGTCTCACTATAATTTCTTACCCTCTCTACTTTTTTTTATGACCGTTTGGAAAAAATACACTGCTATTGAATAAAGTTGTGTTTTTAACAAATTGAATGTATATTTTCGTTGAAAATTATAGCCACTTTTTCTGATTTCAAATATACAGGGTGACTTTGAAGTTGAGTCATTAATTTTCAGATAATGATTGTAGAAGGAAGATAAACCAAAATATGTGTGTAAAAATAAAAAAAAATAAAAAAAAAATGTTACCTTGTTTAATAAAGTATCATCCCGACAAGTATTTCAGTGCGGACCTGTATTTGATCGTGCGGTCTTGGAGCAGCATGCCCTCACCTGTGAGGTCTTAAGTCACCTGATTCACGAGCCCTTTATACTACATTAACAAAGGCACGGGGGGTTGGTTGCACTCGATTGGGAAACCGATTCGCATAAATCCGCGATGCATCCGGGAGCATTTGTCTGCCCCCCTGAAAATAAGAATCATGTCCACAAGTTCAGCATTTTCGTAAACATGTGCCATTTTTGATTTCGTTTGAGCCACGCAACACACTACTATTCACTAACGCGTTATCGACTGACGAAAAACATCGTGATAAACGTTTCAAATTCTTTCGCTTTTTTGTTTCCGATGCGATGAACCGGTCAGGCGGATTATATCCGTTGTCGCCAAACACGAGCATATAATAGGCAGGGCGGTACTCAAACTTCCAAAGGGCTATAACTTTGTTACTTTAATTTTACCAGAAAAATGGTAAAGGAAAAAAACATTTCTTTTGATCAGATCTACTCACTGTTAAAATAAATGACTCAACTTCGAAGTCACCCTGTATATAGTTCATCATAAATTATTTCGGCCGTATACACGTTAGAACAAAAGCAACTGAAAATATACTGGGTGTTCCATTTAAAAAATACCGATACCTTATCCGATACCACTTTTCTGAGACATCTTGAATTCAAATAAGGAATTACCTGAAAAAATGTATATTAGGTCTTACAACTTCTGTTTGTAACTTCCATCCAAAAGGTTATACAAAAAAGGTAAGAGGCGGGCCAATTTATAGCGGGACAAATCGAAAGTACCTACTCACAAGTACTGCAAAAGTATGTGTACCGATATTTGAGTACTACATTATTCACGTATTTATTTTCTAGTGACCAAAGATTTGCAGTGATTCATTACTGCCCAAGGAATTTCGTCGAATTGGAACTGGATGTGAATAAATTTCCCATGATTATAAAGAAAGAGGTGCAGGACAAAAATGTCCTATATCTATCAATATTGGAGAACCAGGAGAGTAAAATGGTTGATTTGGTAAGTTTTTTAGTATTATTGTACAGTAAACACCAAAAAAAACGTATTAACATTTTGTAATCGTTGATGGGTTTCACTGTCGAAAGGTCCCGTCACTTTACTGAGTTGCATTGCTTTCACAATTATCTGAAATTTCTGTGTACCTTTTAGCTACTGTCATGTGCGATGGAAAGCGATAAGGAGCGATGGATACAAGCCTTCAGTCCACCGAAATCTGAGAACCCTGAAGAGACAGTCTACGAATGCTGGGACTGTCCGCAAGTGACCGCCATACATAACTACGTACCCAGGCAGCCTGATGAGCTAGCACTTTCGCGGGGTGACGTAATCAACGTACTAAGGAAAATGAGTGACGGTAAGCAATGGTAGAACTACCATACTCTACGAAAATTCAAAGCCTCAGATACTGCTACAGTCCTAACAGGTGGGCTGAAAAGTCCGTATCGTTTCTATGAGATGGCGCCACCAGAATAAAATCCATACGCTTCTTAGCTAGTACCAACCTTCAAAAGATGCCTGTCAAAATTTGACAGCTGTCGGATCATTAGTTTTTGAGTTATCGTATCGAGAGTGACGCTACTTTTGTTATTTTTGAAAACCATGGAAAGTCAAGAGTTTCGTGTGTTAATGAAACATTATTTTTTGATGAAAAAAAGTGCCGTCGAATGCAAGAAATGGCTTGATGAGTGTTATCCGGACTCTGCCCCGGGCGAAGCAACCATTCGCAAGTGGTTTGCTAAATTTCGTACCGGTCACATGTCAACTGAAGACGACGCACGCAGTGGACGCCCAAAAGAGGTCGTTACGGACGAAAACGTGAAAAAAATCCACAAAATAATTTTGGGAGACCGCAAAATACGGTTGATTGACATAGCTGAGGCCTTAAACATATCAAAAGAACGTGTCAGTCACATCATTCATGAATATTTGGATATGCGAAAGCTCTGTGCGAAATGGGTGCCGCGCAATCTCACATTTGACCAAAAGCAACAACGCATCGACGACTCTGAGGCCTGTTTGGAGGTGATTTTGCGCAATAAAACCGATTTTTTTCGCCGATACGTCACCATGGATGAAACATGGCTCCACCACTACACACCGGAGTCAAATCGCCAGTCGGCCGAGTGGACGTCTGCATCCGAACCACCTCCGAAACGTGGAAAGACGCAACAGTCAGCAGGCAAGGTTATGGCCTCTGTTTTCTGGGACGTGCAAGGAATTATTTTCATCGACTATCTTCAAAAGGGCCAAACTATCAACAGCGACTATTATATAGTGTTACTGGAGCGTTTGAAGGCCGAAATCGCCAAGAAACGGCCACAAATGAAGAAAAAAAAAATCTTGTTTCACCAGGACAATGCGCCGTGCCACAAGTCCATGAAAACGATGTCGAAATTGCATGAATTGGGCTTCGATTTGCTCCCCCATCCACCGTATTCTCCGGACCTTGCTCCAAGCGACTATTTCCTCTTCTCAGACCTTAAGAGAATGCTCACCGGAAAAAAATTTCACAGCAACGAAGAAATCATCGCCGAAACTGAAGCCTATTTTGAGGACAAGCCGAAGGATTACTACCGGAAGGGTATCGAAAAACTTGAAGAACGTTATAATCGCTGTATAGCCCTTGAAGGCAACTATGTTGAATAATAAAAGCGAATTTTGACGAAAAAAATATTTTTTCATTGAAACGATACGGAATTTTCAGCCCACCTGTTATATTGTGCATTACAAAAAGGTCAGTTACTCCCACTGCTGTTTGATTTGATTGTGGAAACTGCTCAATCGACAATAAATCAACTGAAGTTTTCTCAGCTATAAAAGTAAACTTGAAAATTGTTATAAAGTATTGACTAATATTATGGTTTCCAGGTTGGTACAATGGTGAGCGAATAAGAGATGGCCAAATCGGTTGGTTTCCTTCAAACTACACTGTAGAAATAGCGAATCCACATGTTAGAGCGAGAAATTTGAAGCAACGGTATAGGTTGTTGACGTTCTCAGAGCATTACCTGAAGTCGTAGCTAACTTGAAGAACAACTGAGAACACTTTGTATATTTCGATATCCACATATCATGTGTCAATTTTTTTACATTCCTATAAATATTGTATACTGGTTGTTACCTATAAATTATTGCTAAAATATACTTAAGCAGTAAAGTAATTTGTTTCTTGAATAAAAAATGCATTCAAGTAGTGTTTCTGCACCTCCCATCAGTTCGTAAATGATTATGTTCGGCCTCTTTGAAAAGAAAAGGTAGCTACAAACATGTATAAAGAAACTAAAACGATCAAGCTAGTCAAATGAGCCCATAGCCCACAGATTTCTTCTACCCTACCGACAATACTGATCATCTGGTAATGATGGTATGACGAACCTTGTATAGAAATTTCATCAAAATATGACCGGTGCCTATTTTCCAAGTTATAGACGGATCAAGGATTAGCAAACTGACCGACGGAATTGAAACATGGATTCTGGTAAGTAAAAAAGTACCCAATTACCAAAAGCAATGCCTTGTATGATAGAGGAATTTATAGGGAGGAACTCCAGAACAAAATTAATAGTAGTAGTTTATTTATTTTCCACCAAAATACCATGTGTCAATAAATACAAATGCTAACTTCAGTACAATAATAAACGTAAAATAAAACATAATACCTGACTTTCACAAAATAATCTTAAGTTAACATGTTTTATAAGTCACAGAAAATTTTTAAATTATCTTGTAAAGCCCATTGAAACCAAAATAGTTGGTTATGCACGGGCAGATTTTTTTTTGATATAACTTTGATAATAAATTTTGCAGGATTTTATACAACAAGCACATTGTAAGTATGGAAGCTAAGGAGGAGTAGCACACGAATTCTAATAAATAATTTCTACTAGATTTCGTGTCTCTTGTCTACCAATTAAAAAAATATATTTTTTTAATAAAGATTTTATCAAAGACAATGAGTTTATTTTATCAACATACATACAGTACATGTTTGGCAAACAATTATAAATTTTACATGATAGGTAGGTGTGGCATCGCAAGCTTACATTTCTTTGAAAAGTTTGTATTTTTGAGTTTTTTTTTTCTTTATATCTAGTGAGGGAGCTGTGATTTGGTTTAGGATAATCTAGAAATCTCCAAGGGTAGGAAACTTTTTTCGCGAAATTTCTGAACAAAAGGACTTTTGAAGACTATTTAAATCGAGTCCTTAAATACACACATAAAGAAAACTCCAAACAAAAATATATGTACCTACTCGTGAAAACTTCATACTTTAGAAGCTTAGGTAGACTCATTGAACTAAACCCTTAATGCATCTAGGTTTAGGTTAGTTACACTTATTGATCAGTCCAGAACATGAACAATTTGCTCCACGGGTGCATTGTCCAAGAATCAATGTACTAGAACTGAGTTCACTGATCAACAAGTCTTCCTGACTAGGCCAATAAATTGTAGAGATGGATGTCAATATTCATCCTGGACATAAACTACTAAATGACATAGAAGATGCAACACCGACTAGAAGTGATGTAATTGTGAGCATACTTTTACAAGTTTCGGGTCTAATGATAAATATAAAGTGATTAAATTTTTAACTCGAAATTTCGCAAAATAACTGAGATATCCCACCTTTTAATAATGTATTGAGGCTCATCTGTTTGCTACACATTCGTTAAGCCGTCGCGGCATTGAATGGATTAGGTGATTGATGTCTTCTTGTGTATTGTATCCCAGGCGATCTGAATTTGGTTTCGTAGAGCCTCCAATGTTTGTGGAGGGTGCGGTGAAATTTGCCGTCTAACTTGTCGATTTCGGTCATCTTGGAACAACGCTTGATCACATCTCAACACATTAGCTTCCTTTCGATTCACCCGATTAGCGATTTCTCTAAAAGAAAATCCGGCTTCACGTAACTCTATTAACCGACTCCTCTCAAACTCGGAAAGTAGAGTGAAATTAGTGCGTCTGCGAATTCTGGGCATGATAGTGCAATGAAACAACAGTAGAACAAATGGAATCAATTAAAAAAAAACACAGAATATTAAGTGGAGATGTTCATATTTTTCGAATCCTGATACGACAAAAAAGCCTTTCCAAAAAAGTACGGTCCGAGATACGCATACATCCATGATACCAAATATGTTTACAATTTTTTTATCAAAATTCAATAAATAATTCTGGGTGTTACATTTTACATGCCACTTAGTATATTTTCAAGCAGTTGTATTTGCTCAGCTTGAAATACAAGCTGTTGAATTGATATGTTCATAATTTTACAGCCCATAGTTTTTAGTTATTCCGTGTAGAGGATGCATAGCGAACAAGAAAAACTACAACTAGAAAACAGTTTCTGGGTAATATCATTTAAGCATCTCAACGACAACTGCATGAATTTTGCAACCGATTCTCGTTATAGGATTAAAGATCCTCTTCGAGCTATAATAGCCCACATAAAACTTCTCAGTCCAACATTAAATTCCCCAACATAATACGTACATGGTGTTCGGATATTTTGGCTGACTCATTTTTTCCAGCCCTCAGCACATCTTAGCAGAATATATAGCTTTTGATAAAACACACAAATGTCAACGTTCTACGGTCTATGGAATGTTGAAGTATTTTTGATGTAATTTGTGTGATTAGAACTGTTTACCCTATTGGATCACGATATCGAACTATGTGTAAATACAGTTGAAATCAAGGGAAATTGGCTGTTATTTTACCATAACTATCAAAAAAGCTCTTCTGTTTAAAGAATTAATGAGGATGCGCGGTAAAGCAAGGCTACGAGGCAAAGGTTTTAGTATAATAATTGAAAAATAAATAAAGGTTGTTTCCAATAATTCGTCATGTCTATACAAACAAGAAATCCACTTGATAGGTGATTTGAAAATCCAACGAAATGAATAATAACAAGTCACAATTCTTGTGCATACCAACTAAAAGTTCATTCCAGTACATTTATTTCAACCAGGAGGTATTCATTTATGAAGTTGTGGATAATACGTATGTCATCAACCTTATTTTATATTTTTTTGAATATTGAAATATTGTCAAAGTGTAGCCCGTACATACATCGAGGTTCAAGAAAACACATACACAACCCAGTTTGCAATACTGACTTTATGTCACACGATATTTTAAATTAGAAAACAACCACAGCTAAATTGGTTTATTGGACTCTTAATCATGACACATATCTTCAATAGAATAATCTCCAATTGAGCAGTTGGAGTAAATAACACATGAGTATACTAAGTGAGATATAAATCCGAACACCCAGTTTAAATGGTTTTATTTTAATAAAAGTTGGTGAATGTATTTATCTTACTGTAAATAACAAGTGAAAAAATTTTCAGCCTTATCAGTTGGACATTCCGGTTTTTATACTGCTTTTTTTAATTCACTAACGCTCTAAAAATGAATATTTCAGCCGCAGTAAAGAATCAACGTTGGCGAATTTTGGTTCTTGACATCCTTTACGATCGGTTACGATGCCTAGAGTACGGAGACCTGTACGATTTCGTCAACTTAGTGAGTTTGATAGGGGCTGTATAGTGGGACTTCGGGAAGCTGGACTTTCTTTTCGCGCAACTGCCGTTAGAGTGCAAAGAAGTGTAGACACTGTGGTTAGGTGTTGTCAGGCATGGCTTCGAGAAGGCCGTACGCAAAGAGCAAGGGGCACTGGACGCCGCCGTAGAACAACAGACCGTGAAGATCGCCGCCTAATATTATTGGCCTTAAGGGACCGTTTCTCCACTATCAGGTCCATTGCAAATGAATGGTTTGCAGAACACGGAAGACCTATTGGCATGCGAAGTGTTTACCGACGAATGAGAAGTTTTGGCTTGTTTTCATACCGGCCACACTGGGTCCTCCCTTTAACTCGAGAATACCGACGTAATCGCCTTGAGTGGTGCAGACAACGGTCACTCTGGGATCAGGAATGGAACCGTATTGTCTTTAGTGACGAGTCTCGATTTTGTTTAGGCATGCACGATGGTCGTGCCAGGGTTAGAAGGCGACGTGGTGAAAGGAGGAATCCACAGTTTTTGTTGAAAGACATGTTCATCACACTGTTGGAGTTATGGTTTGGGGTGCTATAGCTTGTGGTTCCAGGTCACCTTTAATCTTCATCAGAGGTAACATGAACGCGCAGCGTTATATCCACGAAGTTCTAGAACCCCATCTTTTTCCCTATCTTGACACCCTGGCAGATCCAACTTTCCAACAAGATAATGCCCGACCACATGTTGCAAGAGTCACAATAGACTTCTTTCAACATAATGATGTCACATTGTTACCATGGCCACCAAGATCTCCCGACTTATCCCCAATTGAGCACGTGTGGGATATGATGGGTAGGAGATTGCTCAATTTGCAACGTCCTCCTCAGACTCTAGAAGCACTTCGAGAGGAGTTGGTGGTTGCCTGGAATGAGATACCACAGGAGGACATTGACCACCTGATCAGAAGCATGCCTAGGCGCGTTGGAGAATGCGTAGCACATCAGGGTGCATCCACACATTATTAAAGGTCAAAGGGCTTTAAAGCAGTGCAATCATTTTGAAATTTTGATCATTTACTTATTATGGTTCATTAAGTACTTATACAAAATTTTATTAAAATAAAACCATTTAAACTGGGTGTTCGGATTTATATGTCACTTAGTATATATAAAATATGAAAGACGTGACCATGGTATCACTTTATCCTCAACTTGTCATGTACGAGTATTATACTCGTAACGTACGTCATAGGAGTCGTATTCCACATGACTGACTCTATGCATTCGTTGTACTCGTAAGTATGAATTGGTAAACAATATCATATACTATGCTGGCAAAAATAACCATTCAGTAGCGAATTTCAATGTGTACGATGAAGAGTGAGTAGCGTGAAACACGTGCTAGAACGAGAAAGCGAAAGACAAAGCTGGCGACCAAGGTGAGGAACAAGCTTTGGCTTAGCCGCGCTGCCACATATTACAAAATTACAAATTTGGGTACTTTTCCGAATCCGTGGTTGAGATAAGATAAGTCCATTCCCAAGGTTGCGCTGGGGCAACAAATTTATGAACTGACCTTTTCTTGCTCTACTTAAAAATAACCCTAACCGCTCTGGGCTCTAACTGCGAACCAAGTACATGAATAACCATTGTTTTTTCGACTACTGCTCAGCCTAGAGTAAC